TGCAGCTGCGACGCGTGTACTGAGGCCGGCGAGGCCATCGCGGTGAAGTGTTCTTGGAGGGGGGAGGTGGTGATGTGCATGGAGTCAAAGATTGCATCTATTTACGATTTGGCGATCATCTAACTACGACTGAGCCTCCTAAACCTAAGAAGCTGACCTTGACGCAAAAGAGTTTTTGTCGTGAGATGGCTGACCAGCAACTACGACATATGCGCATTCGGCTTGCACTCTCGCGAAAGTTTGAAACCTCGCTAGAGGACCTGCCGCCACTTACGCCTATTCAGAAATTTGTTAATCACTATTCAAGGACCTTTTTGGAAAATCACGACCGCTTAAAGGAGTTGACGGGTTGGATTCAGTCCCACGCCTTCCACGGATATGAGCAAATGACGCAGCCTTTTACGTTTGGGTGGAGTTACGACTACGATAGAAAACTAGTTGTTGGAAACGGCTCAGACGAGAAGCCATTTATTATCGGCCTTACAACTAAAGACCTGATGCTTCGGATGATGATGCCACCCGACAGTTTCTTGCTGCTTGTCGACGCTACGTATAAAACCAACCACGTGGGCCATCCGGTCATCGTGGTCGGGATATCCGACCGCTCTCGGCGTTTCAACCTAGTTGCACTATTTATCGTCTATTAGGAGAAACAGTACATCTACGAAGCTGCCCTGATGTCCCTTCGTCGGCTCTATTGTTGGATTTCAGGCAAAGATCTCATTGTACAGTACGCGATGGCGGATGGAGATAAAGCTCAATGCAATGCGCTGCATAAAGGTTTTGGGGGTTATCCCCGCTTTCGTTTTCTCATGTGTGTTTTTTTCATGTGATAGAGAAGGTTTAGAGTGCAATAAAGTCATTATCCTCGCTGCTAGCGGCGAAGGTGCTGCGAGATATTTACGATCTACACTTTGCCAGAACTGAAAAAAGCGTATTGGTGCTGCGGGGCGCAATTTTGCTGGAATGGAAAAGTGACCCGAGACTGTTTCTATTTTCAAAGTACATGGGTGCGCAATGGCTGCAAGGGATGTTTAGTACGTGGCAGGCGTACGCTACTCTAACTGGTTTCGCCACCACTAACAACCCCGTAGAAACCTTCAACGCCGTACTCAAAAGGGATTGCACGCTACGTCGTAGGCTGAAAATGGGAACATTGTTGCGCGAGCTTAGCGCGTGTTGCCAAAATCAGTCTTCTAACACTCGAGCATTCGCGTTCGGGGTCATACCTTCCGGCACGCTCACAGGCAGGGTGACGGAGCTGGTGCGAGTAAACATACTGACGACGGTAGAGGACGATACTCCTGATAATGAGCGTGCTGGGCGGCCAGATATCATCCAAGTCAAGGCATCCCTCGCTCCTCGTGCTTCCGTAGCCCCAACCAAGCGACGTGAGGAAGGTATAACTGCTTCAGCTCAGATGGGTGCTGATTTCGCCCGAATGGAGGTGCAGGGCCAGCCTGCAGGTGGATGGCTCGTCGACATTGAGAATAAGACGTGCGGCTGTAACTACTGGTTCGTATTTGGCGCTTGTGCACATGTGGTATACGCGCTGCGTATCACTGAATACGTGGACGGTTGCGGTCGCAGCATTCTCGTCAATAGGAAGAAAAGAAGACGCACCACATTACAAGCACCCGACGGAGGAGGTCGGCTCAGAAATGTGGGTCCGGCTCTGAGCTATGTCTAACCCAGCACTTTCGATTTAGCCGGCAACAGTTCAGGGTTTGGGTAGCTCTCCTTAATAGATGTGGTTCGTTAGCGTGCACGCGCGGGTATAATGCGCCGCAGCTCCGCATCTATCCTTTTGCATGAATTCGTTTAGCTAAGAACATGTTCTTCTACAACTTGGTCTCTGTACGTATTAAATGAGGTGAACTTACACTTCTAAATTTTCCGCACACGCAATCGTCATATTGTTTGGTTCGATACATGATGCGAACGCTGTAGCTTGAATACTCGTCGTCATCTTGGTGCTGGGGCAAGAAAAATGCAAAATGAGACTTGAATGATGTATAAGCACCCAGCGTCTCTAAAAAAAGGAACAATCACTTTTCAAAGCAGAAAACGTATAAAGGAAAACTTGCTTGGCTTTGTACGTGTGCGAGATCATCGTGATCCCTTCTTATTCCCCTAGTTTTCACCATAATCTTCCCAGCATCCGTCGCATGCGCATTTAAATCACCTCTCGTTACCGTAGTTAACTGTAAACTCAGCGCCTGCCTTCACATCCTTAATCATCCGCAAGAAGACCTTCACGTTGCGCCTGCTCTGCATCTAGACGAAGACAGCGTTTGGATCACAAGCATGGCTTATGAACCTAGTGATGGACCCTTTTTTGACGGCCTCTTCGTACACGAATTTCTTTGTCACCGACTTCGTATTGTAGAGAAATTCGCATCCACTATTCTGTTTGAGAGCTTGGTCGGGTTGGCCTGCCACTTTTGCTGGCCACTCGCTGAACTATCCAGTGTACTTGCCTACAATGTCGCCGATGTCGAGAAGGGTGGTGGTGCACACACCCATACCAACTGGGCCGATGTCGAACAGTATCAGCGTATCACGCACAATCGGAGCGTTACTGCAGCGCCCGTTCAGCTTGCAGCAGCTACGAATACAGTAAACGGCAGCTTCTACGTTGTCGCAGCTGCCCCAGAAGCAGCCCCCGACACAGCGGCACTTATGGAAAGAGCCGAGGTCGGTGAAGCGAATCCCATTCGTAGTGCACTCGTCTATAGACTCGATGCCCTCCGGCCAGGGCCGCTCGTGTTGCAACACAAGACCCTGTTCGACTGGTTCCTTGTACACAGGTCGTCAAGCATACAGGTTTGCTAGGCGACTCTTTATGCCAGGTAGCTTTAGAAGATCCTTTATCTTCATAGCTGTAATGGAGTGTGCGTGGTGGATCTGCGTTCCACTCCGCGTTACAGCGCACTTCGACTGATGACAGCGCTTGCAAGAGCGGGGCACGTGCCACGAACCTGAACGCTTTTTCGCCTGATGTCGGATCTTGGCTCTGGCGAGCCGAGGCGGCATTCCAGGGCATTGTGATGCTCCTTTGCGATCCGACGCCTTCTGTAAGGCGTTTCCTGGCATTATTCGCGATGCAGTAGACTCCGCGATGCGTGAGAGTCGTGCTGAGTGAAAAGATTTTGTGGCGGAGAGCTCTCAGTCGTCGGAGCAGGAGTCAGATCACTCGGTGGAGGGAGGTCATGATGACGAGAAGCTCTCTAACATCTTTCACACCGGCTATAGCGCTCCTGCGATGGGTGAGAACGATGTGGGTGCGTCCAAGGAACGTAGTGCGTGTGAGGAAACCGACGACCCGTCATTTTCCGTGGAGTCAGACGACCCGGAGCCAACCGTGGGGGCAACCGCGGGGACTAGATCACGTCCAGCACCGCCCAGGCTGGAGCGCGTGATGTCATCCAGGACCAAGGACCAGCTACCAAGGAACATGTTGCGTGCGAGGAAAACGTCTAAGGACGTCGAGCCCACCGACAAGGCGGTGCTCGAAGCAGAGGTGTACATGCTCAAGATCAACGTGTTTGAGCGAAGCTTGCGCCAAGTTGCATAGGCTGGCTTAAACCGGTTCCCAAAGCGGTCAATGGACAGCTTCAGCATTAGATAGCGTGGAATCACCTCCCCGGTGTCCACTGATATTGGGTATTCAGCGTCGACGTCCTCGTCGATTCGCAGGACGACCGACGTGCGATGCCCGCGGGGATCGCCTGCCACGAAGGCCATCGAGTAGAACTCCACAGTATCGCCAGTATACAGACTGGCGGGATGCAGTTCGGAGGCACTGAGTCCCGGCATGTTCTGTGCGTGTCTGAGTGCGGAGCGCAGCGCGGTGCCGTGTCGTGGAGCCGGCGCCAGGGAATAATGAAATGCTACTATTTGTGTGGCACCAGAAACCACACAACTTAATACATTCGTTTGACTTTCGCTAGACCGCATTGCACGCGGGGGCAGGCACCACCACACGACAGCGAAGGGTTCAGGCTTCTCTGCAGACTGCAGAAGGGCGAGTTGAGCCTGCCCCTTTGCTGCTAGTGTGTAGGCAAATCGCTTTGGAGCAGATATGTACGTGTGATCCTAAAGTTGTCTCTTTGAGATACCCTCAAATGTTCATAGACATAGACATTGACTCTATCCTTGTAGGCGATGCTGACAGCAATCCACCGATGAAAAAGGTCGGTATGCTTCGTCTACATTTACGGGGGTATTCTTGGTGACGATACACTTGATATAGCGAGGCACAAGCTTATATAGAATTGCAATGTAAACTGCAGAGTACTAAGGTATTGTAGTGTAAATTCCGTCGCGGTCTTCGGCTGCAATTCTCAGTGCAAGACCAAAAAATACGGCCGCGAAAATTGCAATGTACTTCTCCGGTCCGAAAAAGAATTAATAGTTAGGTTTTTCTATAAAAACCCTCGCATGTGTGATTGGTCAATGTCCATACTGAGGAGGAGACGATTGGTTAAAATGAGCTCATATGAGGATTTGTATGCACACGGATTGAGAGTCATTGACACGAAAATGGATGCAATTGCTTTTAGTGATATACATGTATCACTAGATTAAGCTTCGTTAGCGCTTTCTCTAGTATATTTTAAAGTTTAGTTCTGATTATTTTTGACGTCAAAGCGAAAAAAACTCCACCCCTCCATAAAGTGATAGTTCAAATGGTCAGGTATTGGAAAAATTGGCAGGAAATTTGTACATTTAAAAAATCGTGCTGACGCTACCTTTCAAACTAGCTCAACCACGCTTCCGTTGGAGCTGTACGGCCGAAGTTATCGCCGATTTAAAGAACTTTTAATTCTAATCACTGACTTATACTGCAAAAAACTTTTCTCGCTAGGTAAATATAAGTGGATGCCCTAAGCCTTTTTCTTAAGTAAGCATTTTGCGCATAGTCACGTTTTTGTTTTCTGAAGTAACCGCAAGGTTCAGCACCTTTCGCACAACGAAACATGACACAAAGCCAGAGTATGTCATTGCGGTCCGCGGCGGCCGAGGCTGGCGAGGGTCTGCGGCTGTCGGCCTCGTACGACATCAAGTCGCGCGCGTCTTCGGCTTCGCTAGTGTCAATCTCCCCGGCTTCAGCCAGCCGGTCGCGCAGCCTGGCCGCGCCATCGTCGCGCCACCGCTCAGTACCACATGACGTACCGTTGCGCTTCCACTGGGCCGGCTATCTACAGAAACGCAGCGATTGGCTTAAGCACTGGGAGACCTACTATTTCGTCTTGCGGGGCCGGTCGCTCTACTGCTATCTGTCCGAGGAGGACGCACGCCGTCAGAATGCCAAGTCCAAAATCAAGAAAGGCAAATTCGGGTTCTCAGACCGTGTCTCTCTCGTTAAGGCCTGGGACGTCGAGGAAGTGCTAGGCGCGGCCATCAGTAGTACATCTGGCCAAGCAGGATCTGCGGCTTCTACACCCGTGGCCGGGGCTGGCCCGTCCGGGGAGACCGGGCCGGACTCTGTAGCTGCGACGAGCTCGTCCTCGGCCAATGACCCAGACTCCGAGTCGGCCTTCAGGTTCACGCTGGCCACGCAGAAGGGCCATCAACTGCACTTCCGCACCAACTCGGAGGCCAGCAAACACACGTGGCTGCAGTTCGTGGCCAACGCTATAGCCGATTATGATCTCTCGGGCCACATGCGGCCGGCCGTACAGCGACTACGCACCAACGTGGAGGATTTCTACCGAGGATACGAGTACTTTTACGCAGCTCTCTGCGCCAGGGTGGCGGCCGACGAACGAGGCGTACAAATGGACGTACCGGCGTCGCCATCGGCAGCAGGGCCGGGTACTCCGGGCGGGGCCACAGAGGAGACGGACAGATCCAGCCTCACGTTGACGTTACCAAGCGGCAAGAAGCCGACGGCCTCGTTCATGTCGGTGGCCCCCAACCAGCCTCTGGCCAAGACGAACGTGCTTCCCCCAATGGACCACGTTCTAGTCCGTTTCTTCTCTCTGTTAAAATCCGACGTGATCCTACGTAGCAATTACCTCCCCATGGTGCCGTTCGAGGGCAAATACCGCGGCTTCGGCGGTATCCTCGAGTATTTCTCACGACTGTCCCAATCTGTGCAAGTGGAACAGTTTATCGTGGAGAGTATTCAGATGGAGGAGGAAGAGGAACAGGACGATAGTCCAGACTTCGAACCGCGTCACCGTCGGAACCGCAACCGGGTCGTAGTCATCTCTGGAACGGAAACGATGCAGGTACGATACAACCAGACCACGTTCATGCAACAATGGACACACAAACTGCACTTCAAGCCGAACGACGGCGGCCGAGTGAGTCGCTGGGAGATTTTCGGCGATGTTGTGGCCTCCAGCGTCGTCTTTAAAGCACCTGGCTGCACGACGAACCTCACGTTGCCGTCTCTGGCCGAGCGTATCCGCGAGTCTGTCGTCGGCGGATACGTGGTTTCTATCAATCTGTACCAGATCACTGATGTCCGGTCGCGCGAGCTGCAAGGCGACGAGTTTTTCGTACGCTGTTCGCTGGATACCAACGAGTTTGAAGGCGTGTGGCACACAGAGGCGCAGTCTCGAGCGGCCCCGCCAGTGGAGTGTCCGGCCGACTCAAGCGAGCTCACACCGTCGTGGTCGTACAGCTACCAACAGGAATTGTTCTTGCAGTTCGATCGCTTGTCACGCGATGACAACACAGTGCTGCTCATTGAATGTTGCCGCAACTCGAACCACGAGGTTGTTGCTCGTACTCACGTGAACCTGGCCAAGTTTCTGAACGGGAGCAGTAGCGGCGGTGGGTTTAGCTCTGGCAGCACGATTTCCAGTCGCCTAATGGGACGACGAAGTCGGAAGAAAACGACGAGTAACGCGTCCAGGGCAGGAGAACTACAGAGCTACGTGCTGTCCAATGACCACCAGAGTTTCTTTGGAAAACTCCAACTAGGTCTCACGATCTCGTCCATGTCGCATCGCTCGATCTCGCAGCGGTCCTCGACCTCGAGTTTCCGAGATAGCTATCGAGACAGCTTTTGCTCCGATGACGGCACTGTGGGAGCGGCGTCTCTGGCGTCGTTCGAGAGCCCGTCGGCCGCACGCACCAGCTTTCGCTCGTTCACGAAGCTCACGCAGCAGTTCGCGCCCTCAGGAGAGGAAGTCATGCACCAGTTTGTGATTAACGGCGTGCGCTATCAATTAGCCGAGAAGTACCGCATGGTCAAGATCGTAGGCAAAGGCACGTACGGCGAGGTGATCGCAGCGAGCGACTTTGTACACGGCGGCACGTTTGCGATCAAGAAGCTGGGCCAGTTCCTGCGGCATCCCAAGGTGGCGCTGCTGGCTCTGCGTGAGATCAAGCTGATGAGCGAGATCGGCACGCACCCGTGCCTTATGGGCTTCCACGAGCTGCAGCGACCTCTGGACTTTGAGCACTTTGAAGACCTGTACATCATCCAGCCGCTTATGGAGACGGACTTGTGTCGTATTATCCACTCGAAGGAGAGTTTGAGCGACGACCAGGTGCAGTATTTCCTCTACCAAATGCTCTGTGGCATCCACTATCTGCACTCCGCCGACGTGTTGCACCGTGATATTAAACCGAGTAACATTCTCGTGAATTCGGATTGTCGGATCAAGATCTGCGACTTCGGATTGGCACGACACGCGAACGACCGAGATCTGGCTGAAGGACTGTCGGAGTATGTGGTGACAAGGTGGTATCGTGCTCCGGAACTGCTACTGGCGAACGCGTACACCAAGGCGATCGACATGTGGTCGATTGGCTGCATCTTCGCTGAGCTCTTGGGACGACGTATCATGTTCCCCGGAACGTCATACGTAGACCAGCTGAAGGTCATTGTGGACATTGTAGGAACGCCGACGACGTTCAGTTTCTGCGATAACCCCGTGGCACGGCGCTATGCTGGAAGACAGTTCTTGCTTCAGAATCCCCATGTACCCAAGGTGGACTGGGCTCAGATCTTTCCGGAAGCTAATCCGGACGGGTTGGATCTGCTAGATCGGTTACTACAGTTTGACCCGGCTAAGCGTATCACGGCCGCCGAGGCGCTGGAACACCCGTACGTGAGTCAGTGGCGAGATCCGCTGCTGGAACAGCCGTGCAATGCCGACGTTGCGACCAAGTTGACGCAGTTCGACTACGCGCAGATGACGTACGATCCGCAAGCACTTAAGGAATTGCTGTACCAAGAGGTCATGAAGGCGCAGCATCCGCCCTCACAACACCAGGAGACCATTGCCGAGTAGACAGGCCTGTACCATGTACATGTAGACCAGCGAGAAACGCTAGGCAGGGAGGACACAGTAACAAAAACAAATCATAAATAGGAAGTAGTAAACACATCGACAATGACTTGCACGATGACAGTTTGGAAGTGCAACTACTGTTCATGTATTATAATAATACCTGTTGAGGGAAAGACAGTAATACCATAGAAGCGATGACCAGTTAAAATGCTACCGCGGAAGAAGCTTACATGTATTAATACTACGTAGTAAAACATAACGTAGTATATGGGCGTCAAACTTGCCTCAAAACACTTCTTATCAAAGACGGAGCCATATCGGATACTAGGAAATGAAGCCTCAGCGCTGTTTCAATTTCTTTTGCGCTAAACGAGCAAACCGAGTTGACAATGAAAAATATCGGGAGAAGAACACTGCGTGTCTCCATCAGAAGCACGAAAAGTACTACATGTAGAATCACGGACATGTTCCTTACTACTTGGAAGTAACACTACAGTAGAAAGACTGAATCCGAGTGAAGACACCGAATTATACGCTCAGAGCGAAAGCATACCTCACGACGAAGGCTACTTCGCAGCCATTTCATACGTCGCGACATACAGCGGGATGTGACGCAGGATTTCACCCTTAATGATCCCCACACTGTTCACGGCAATGTTGGTATTCATGCTCTTGTCACCGTCATCAAATAGCAGTGCTATGTAGCATACTGGCAATTGTTTCTTCACAAAAGGCTGAGCCAGACTCCATAGAATCTCTTGATCGAGCTTGTGAGTTTTTGCCCTCGTCAGCTGCAAGAAGCAAAACCTCTCCAAAGGGGCATCAGTATCGGCCATATTATAGGAGAATTTGCATCGGCTGACAGCAGAAATTGTTCCACACAAATTGGTTGTAAGAACCCAATAATCCATCTCTGCAGGGCTTTCAGCCCAGCTCTCCATAGCTGCTATACACTCTCGCAAGTTCTTACCATTGACCCTAATCTGTAGTTGTTTATTTTTGTCACTGTGAACCATCCGACCACACGTTCCCACACCCGTTTTCTCTTGATCCGTTTGCTCATACTTACAAAAGATGAAGCGAAACGATTCTTGGTGGCGTATTAGCGAGTGAAAAAGTGCTTCAAGACCACTATCTTCGAGGCGTGAATCGTTCAGTTGTCGAGCAACACTGACAAGTTCTTGAAAATATTCCGGCTTCACCATTGTTGTCACGTGCTGGAGCACAAGCATCGACGTCGCACACGGTTTCCAGTACGAGCAATTCCAATAGTGTGCTCGCTCCGAAACGTTTTTCACTCCCCAGTTGCGAAAGAAATCGACTATCGGGGGTGAGCTACAGTAGTATGTTTCAAGCAGCCCTTCATCCTCGTCGGAGAGGAGGCATCTCAAGACGTCACTGAAAACCATCCTGACATGAGGATTCAAGAAAGCACCAAGGTTTCCCCCCCCGACACGAAGTACCGACGGGCGATATCCTCCTCTTTCAGACTGCCTTGTAACCTGGCCAATTGTTCCACGTCGTCTCGTTACGAGTAAGGCAACAGATTAATGCCCTGTACGGCAAGCCGCTTCGCCCTTTGAAAAATATTGTCGGGTCGCTAGCAGTGTGAAACAATTGTGCCAGATTCTACGTGTAATCCCCGCCTCATCCAAACCGTCGATAAAAAACCAGCATTCGGACGAGAGGAGCCAGTAATCGGATTTAAACGATGCATACATATCGCCATTCTCATCGACCCATTCAAAGAATTCTCCCTCATAAGGCAAGCGAGTGACAGAAGGAAGGTTCCTGTCGCCACTAGGACGATACCATGCCACAGGTTTCTTCCTCGAAACTGCAAGATAGAAACAAAGCAAGGCCAACATGCAGCTCTTGCCCGTTCCTGCACTCCCGATAGTGATGAACTGCCTGCCAACGGCTCCGATTGTGTCAATCCTGTCTTTTAAATACTCTTTTAAATTTTCCAGCACACAAAGCATTTCTTTCCGAACGAAGAACGTGGAGCCCATAAAGCCCACGATGTCTCCGATTAACGTAATGTCCTTTAGTTGTCCGCAATCGTCGTCCGTCCAATCAAATAACTTTAAGAAACCACCCTCTTGCGGTAAGGCGCCACTCGCTCTACAGCTCTTTTTCAGCTTTAGATATGTAGATAGTAGGTTAGTTTGGATGGTGGCGCCTCGTCGTGTTTCCTTATTTTAAATAGCCTTTTCCGATATTTGGAAGACAAAACTACGATCACGTGAATTTGCTCTTCATCCTGCTCAATTATTTCTTGGATCGGCATGGCGCTCTCAATTAATAAAAAACAATGACTCCATTTCGGTTAGACGGCTACTCTCATCACGTGGAAGAGATCTTGCGTCATCAGCAGACACCCATTCGCCATTTGCTCGCTTTGCCACAAAGAGCCAAAGTTTGAACGCATCATCCTGGATCGTCTTCGGTTTGCGTGCTTTGATAGCGTCTTTAAGCTCATCCACACGCAGATTAACTTTAATTTCAATTGTAAACGGATACCTCCTGTCTTCCGGATCGAGATAGACACATGAAAGCTTCACTTTCTTCCCACTTCCGTTTCGGTGGTGGGATTGGCGCCAGTTAATATTATACCTTCGGCTCTCGGTCGAGGAGCGTGAATCACTATTAATACACCCCGAGTATCGTCGATGGTGCTGGCTGGAGCTATTGCTGTGTGTGTTGGCGCCTTCGCGCTGGTCAGGCAAGCTGATCCGTATATGCTCTTCCGGTCTGATAATGGTAAAACCGATAAACATTATACTTTCTCCTCTTAAATTATATATATATTCTGCCAATCAAACATTATACTTTCTCCTCTTAAATTATATATATTTTTTGCCAATCAACAGTATTAATAATTCTGTTTTATCCACTCACAGAGCGTAATTCCTCTGGCCACACATAACCAAGAAGCGGCGAGCCATTTCACGCCTCTCGTTCCCTGGCCATGAAGCTGCTTCTGCTGACGGCGCGTCGCGTGGCGCGCGCAGCTACCCCCGCGGCGGTGAATGCGTTGCGTCCGTCAATCGCTCGTCCGATGGTAAACGCTGTGTCGATGCCCGGTGCGCGCTTCATGAGTGACAAAACTGGCGACAAGAAGAACACAGACGCTTCCAAGCTGTTCGCTTCCAAGGACGACAGTGACAGTGATAGTGACAGTGACTCAGACTCGGACAGCGACTCAGATAGCGATTCAGATGAAGAGCAGGTGGTGGAGGTGGAAGAGCTGGAAGAGCTGCTGCCTATTGACGAGGAGGGCATTTCCACGGCTGAGAGACGACGCCGTCTTGACGCGTTTTTGGCACACAACGCCGATTTCTTCGACGAGGAGCGCTGGGGCGCACAGGACGGCGAAAATTGGTTTGGCTTTGACGGCAACATTGACGCCGTGACCGAGGAGGGCGTGCCCACGTGGCTGCAGTCTGTGCGTAACATGGTGACCGTCGAGGAAGAACGCGCGATCCGCGCCAAGGCGGCCCGTATCGCATTTCACGAGGCCAAGAACAAGGTTGTGCGTGTGCGAAAGCTCGACGAAAAGGGACGTGCCTATGGCACTGGCCGCCGTAAAACCAGCACAGCGCGTGTGTGGGTCAAGCCTTCTGCGGAGCCTTTTATGGGCCGCATTAAGGTGAACAAGAAGGACCTGGTGGACTATTTTGTGCGTGACACGCATCGCGAAGACGTGCTCATGCCTTTCTCTGTGGTGGACAAGATCGGCGGATTCGACGTGTACTGCACGGTCAAGGGCGGAGGCGTGACCGGCCAGGCCGGCGCCGTGCGTCACGGTATCGCCCGTGCGCTGCAGAACTTCGACCCGGAGATGCGTCCGGCCCTCAAGAAGGCGGGCCTGATCACGCGTGACCCGCGTATGGTCGAGAGGAAGAAACCTGGTCAGGCCAAAGCCCGTAAGAAATTCCAGTGGGTCAAGAGATAGATGCAGACGCAACAGGAGAACAGGCTGCTGTCAGACAGGAGCTGCAATAGGCAAACAGCGAGGCGCTCGTTCAGCCGTGTATCTGTTCAACCCGAAGCATTCGTTTGTCACTTTTCTTCCTTTAATTGCCATACATATCTGAAGTAGCAGAGCTGGTCACAGTAGTCGAGCTCAACCTCTTCAATCTGTTTTGTTCTCTTATCGGTCGCGTGCTACAGTGCCATAGATGCCTCAAGTTTTCGCAGCGCTTCGAGCTCGTCTTCATCGGCGTTGCCCACCACATTAATGTTGGACTCGACCGCGTGTGTAGGCACGTCCGGCAAGTTGTACTGAGCCGTCGGAGCAGGTGGCGCCGACGGGGCAGTGGCTGCTGCTGCAGCAGCTGGAACTGCAGCGGGCGCGGCTGGAACTCTCGCTGTTTCTGCAGGCGTGGCGGCCACGGGCTCCAGCGTCTTCTCCTCGAGTTCAAGCTCCTCCATCTCGCGCAGCTCGTCTTCCAGCTCGTCGTCATCGTACAGCTGCGATCCTAGCGGTTGTGAGATAGCACGACCGATTTCGTCCGCTGTCGCCATCTCCTCCTGGATATCGTCCATGATATTGTCCACCTTGTCTACGTTCATCTGGCCGTGGATCGACTTCATCTGCTCGGCACCTGAACGCAGCGCCGTAAACGTCTCCATGTTGACGTGTGCACTTTCGAGCGTCATGACCTGCGTCTCTAGCGTCATCCGCGCACCCTGCAGCTTCTCGACTTCGGCCTCGTACATTTTCTTGCGCTTGAGTGCGAAGATAGCGCCGCGCTTGTCCTTCGCTGCGCTCTTCTGCTTTGCCTCTTGCAGCTGCAGCGCGATCTTTTTGACGATGTGCAGCTCACGCTTCTCCAGCGACTCAAGTTGCTCACGGAGTTTGCGGATCGTGTCGGCCGTCGCCACAGGCCCCGTGCGCGCGGGCGCCGCCGACTTCCGCCCGAACAAGTTCATCGCTGGCCTGATACTTTGCGTGATCGCAGGCGAGAATCCAGAGGTTACTTCATATCGCCACTTCCGTTGTGTTTGATACATCATAATTTGAAGTAAGAAATGGATCTATAAAAGGGTCGCTCGGTTGGTACCGCACAATCTAAGATACAGAATAAAACTACTTCAGCTCCAATCATGTCTGAAATTAACCAAGCTAAAACAATCACTCCAAAACCAATATTTAGAATTTCTCTTCGATACTGATCTAGGACCATAATGCAGTAAGACAGGATGATTGCGATGCGACATTGTGTCACACGAGTGCATCCATTTCTCATCCAAGTTTCTTCGTCGATGCTCGCCCGCATGGCTCGCGAGTGGAGCGTGTTCATGCGGCAGCCGGTGCTGCCGCGCCATAGCAAGAATTCGCACTCGTGGCTGCGTCAGGTCACGTTACTGCGTGCGCTGCTCGTGGCCGTCACCGTCTTTGCCTCCTGGGGATACACACAACTGCTGGTGCGCTACGGCAGTATCTCGCCGGCAGCTACGGTGCTCTTCACCACGGCCTACGATGGTCGTGCGGCCGGTGACTTACCGCCGATTTCACCTCCCTGGCGCCCGCCGTTCCGCGTTGTAGTATCGCTAACGACAACGCCTAGCCGGCTGGACAAGGTTATGGACAGTGTCCGCTCACTCACAAAGCAGAGCCTTGTACCAGACCAGATTTACGTCAATATCCCTGAAGGGCCCATGAAGAGACACCCGGAGCGCTCATACGATGAGACCGAAATCCCGTCCGATCTGGTGGGACTAACACCACTCGTCAAGGTGAATCGCTGCGTGGACGACGGCCCGGCCACGAAATTGCTGGGAGCTTTACGACTGGAACACAACGCGTCAACGCTAATAATCACATTAGATGATGACTTCGAATACCCACCGGAACTGGTAGCTTCGTTGACATGGGAAGCTGTGGCCAAGCCGGACGACGTGCTGGGCGTGTGTGGATGGGGAATGCTGCCTTTGTGGCACGAGGTTGGCGTCGTGCCCGCCTACGTGCCGTATTTTATGCGTCCCAATGGACGATACGTGGACATTTTACAAGCCTGTTGTGGCAATGCGTATCGACGTGGATTCTTTACGGATGTCGAGGCACTTGCAGACATTCCGTCGGTCTGTGTGACAGTCGACGATGTGTGGATTGCAGGGTATCTGCGGACAGTGGAACAGAGACATAGTGCGTTAATTAGCAAGAGATTGGATCCGTCGGATCCGAAGTGGAAGAAGGAAGAAGCGCGCTCGTCCGAGCGACATATGACGCTCTCCAGCTTCAACCACGAACACCAAGTACATTACAAGTGCGTCCAGGCCATCGAGGAGAGGTTCCAGCGGCGATGGACGCGTAACTTTGAAGAGTCTTAGGATAGGAAAACGAATGACGCTAGCTCGATAGGACACAAACATAGACAAACATGCAGCGCTTTCGATACGTTCGTACATTCGCCGTGTGTAAAGAACAACAATGACCTACTGTTGATTAAAGCATTTTGCAGGCAAAGCGGAGAAGAAGTTTTTAACATCAAAGTCTTTCAGTCTCCTACCAGCGTCAGATGTATCTACTCGTTGCCGTTGTGAATGGCACCAGCCTCGTCCACCGACGAAATTTGACTGCAAGTAGCAAACAAACACAGATATAAGTCTCCAATGCGCTGTGCTGGTACAGCTAGCGATACGTACATCCACTTCTTGTCGAGAGTCTCCTTCCAGAGCGTGACCTTGTGGTCGCCCGAAGACACAGCCAGCACGTTGCCAGTGACAGACCAGCTCACACGCCACACAGGAGCGTCGAACGTGTGCAGCAGCTCGCGCTTCCAGGAACTGTCTTCGGCAGTCTGCGACCAGATGTACACGTGCTTGTCTTCTGAGCAACTGGCAATGAGGTTCACTGGCAGTCCCGTGCTCGGAGCCCACGCAACGTCACGCACCCAGTCACTGTGTGCGGGAACAGAGCTGAGCTCCTGCTTGGTCCACTCCGTCTCACCCTCCGGCAGGCTCCAGATCTTGATCGTCTTGTCACACGAAGCCGTCATTACTCGGCGGATGGGACCGGACGGACCCTGCGAGCCCACTGAGTTAAAAGGAGCCCAGCTGACAGCGTTGCAACCCAGTGCGCTGTCCTTAAAGTGGCTCACGCTCCAGCCCTCAGCTGCGATAATAGCAATGTCGTTAACAGATAAACAGAGATAACTAAAGACATCACCATTGCAGCTGAGCACGTACGCGAGTAGCTGAGCACGGATACAGTTCCGTCAGCAGAGGCGCAGGCGAGTGCAAGTCCGTATTCGTGGGGTGCCCAGGCGATGCTGTTGACTGAGGAATCGTGGAAGGCGTGGACGTAGGCCTGGGTCCACTGGTTCAAGCTCTGTTCGCGGTAAATGATGACCTTGCCGTCATAGGAGCAGGCCGCCAGCAGCACGCCAAACTTGGGGTGCGCCCACGACACTTGCCACACAGGGCCCTCGTGGCTGCAATGGATAGGGCAATTAATTGCGTGTAAGTTTGAATATTGCCAATAGATACAATGAGCCCGTACCCCGTCAAGATCTGCTCGTTGTTCTGCACGTCGCCCGCGACGTCGTAAACCTTAATAGTGCGGTCAGAGGAGCAAGTGGCCAGACGCTTGCCGTAGTAGTCCAGCTGTGCGTCGTGCTGTTAACATCAAGGAATAGTGAAAAGAGCAGTAATGAGAACAATGGGCAACGTTTTTCGTCAGTTCTGAAGCGATGGAGATGCAAGAGAAGCTGAAAAAGGACACCTAGATAGCTAAGACGACGTACGATCATGTCCTCGTGCTGCGTGTCGATAGAGAGGATGGGGGCACTCATGTTGACTTGGACAAGAAGCGGAGAGGAGGTGTCGAAGCTGACGCTTTGTGCTTCGGGATTTTGTCACTACCCGGCTAAGTACGTTATTATTCACTAGACTTCAGTAAGAGTTCACGAAGATGACATAGTATAGAAGTCTGTATGGAATTAAATGGCGACTTAGTTGAGAGCAACCAGCCTCTGCAACGACGTCAATGGGGTGTGGAAGCATAGTACAGGGTCATCAGAGTGCGAAATTGGCGGTGTCGAACCTTGGGTCGGCCTCGGTGTTCTTAAAGTATCAGCTCACCAGCCCGCATTCTCGTCCTCGTTGGGTACGACCATGACGAGGTTCTGCCAACCAAACTCCTTCCAGTTGAGCTGGAAGAGGAGCACCCACGAGATAAACAGCACAGTCCAGAAGCAAAACCCCATGAACGACCGTCGTACCCCTGGAAAACGCAGCACCAACACGAGATATCTACGTTAGACGATAAAGTTATGGCCGAACACCATCGCAGAGGTTGCAGGACGCACACAAAGTGACAGAAGCGTCGATGGTCGGATCCATGAACTGCTTGCGGTAGAAAAGGACGTTAACGAAGTGGAGCCACGGCAGGAACATGAGTCCACCCAAGAACATCTTGCGCGCCACGCTCTCATCTGCCTCCTTATTCAGGTTACGCGTGAAGTTACCACGGTTGTTCGATTCCTCAGGCGGCTCTGTACGCGGCGCCTCCTCCAGCACAGGGGTATCCGTCACAGACTCGTTCTGCTGGTGCCTTGCCATTTTTGTGGGAGACGTCTGACTTTTGGCTGAAAATGAAGTTTTGTATCACAAAACCTTCAATAGAGAGTGATTTCAAGTTATCCGGACAATTGACTTGTTTTGCATTTATTCAAAAATCCTCCTAAGTTAATAGAAGATCTGATATACAGAACTGGCGTTCTGTAAGGACGCGTACATGGGGTCACGTGCTCCAAAGATGTTGTTTTGAAGCCACAAATGTGTCCCACAACAACAGTCGACTAAAGACAGCACCTCCAGCAGACGACATGTACGGCGGCAACTATTCAGGTGGCTACCCGCCTCCAGGCCAAGGTTATCCTCCCCAAGGATATCCACCTCCAGGCCAACCATACCCGCCGCAAGGATACCCACCGCCTGGGCAGCCGTACCCGGCCCAGTACCCTCCGCCAGGCTACGCCCCAGCTCCTGGAGTCTATGCTGCACCGCCGCCGCAGCAAGCGCAAGCTTATTATGCATCGCAAGGTCGACAACTTTTCGTGCAAGCAACACTAGCTCCAGGTGGCTATGTGGCGCCGCAGCCTCAGTACGTTGCCTACCCCGGCGTCGCGTACGGCGGCGGCTATTACAACAAGAAAGGTAAATTCAAGCGCTACAAACACAAACGCAAAGGCTTCAAGTTTAAATAGTGAAGCTTCGCCCCTTGTAGCTGGGGAAGTTGGAATGCATGCACAGAAGTTTCCATTAGGTCAGCAACAGTTTCCGATAATAATACGCGGTAATCCAACGTAACCTCGAAACGTAACCCTGTTTACGATCGCTCAATTCATATATATTGCCATCATGGCAGGCACGAGGCTGCAGATCGTCGGCGCCTTCGTGCTGTTCACGCTATTAGCGGCGCCAGTGGCATGGCACTTGACGCAGGTTGAGCGAGTGGATCTCCCCGTGGATCGCATCCAGCAGCTGTCATGGGCGGCGTCGCGCTTCAGCGGGCCGGAAAAGTTCCAAGTGGACATCTACAGTTTAAGCTCCGTGTCTTCGTCTGCGCCGCCCTCCAGTGCCTCCAACGTCGCGTACTTAATGCATAACTTACAACTAAACGCAGGACAGAAGAGCTCGCTTCAGACGGCGATGAGAACAGGTCTTCAGGCGACGGACGAGGCGCTGAAGACGCTGAAAGCGGATCATATGCGCTTCAGCGTCTTCTTGCTATGCGACAAAAACGCAGCTGTTTCTACCCCCGCTCTGACAGTCGGGAAATACCGCCACGCGTGGTCATCGCAGTGCCAAGTGAATAAAGGCGATGCGGTGCATTTTGCTATTGAAAGATTGGTGCAGAGGCACGTGTACCCCCAGAAGAGTATAATGCAGAATACCGGGACGAAACCAGCACGAAAGGCGCTGCGCTATCGCCTACAATTTTCCTTGCTGAAGGAGAACCCGACGACGCCTTGGAATGAAGATCTACGGACGTTGGTGGATCAGTATCTCAGCAGGTTTGTGCACAAGGTCGGAGCACTCGCAAATTTTACAATCGAGACACAGATGGTTCAGTACGCGAGACTGGCGAGAGAGGTCACGTCCAGTGCAGACGGAAAAGAATTCTACATTAACGCTGATGATCTCAAGCATGTAAGTGAATGATTCTGTACAATTGACAAACATTTATTTGACTTTGGTGGTGCTGCAGTTCAAGAGCGCGAACGACTTTCTCGATGCCTCAGTGCTGGATGATGGAGAACAAGTGCTGCACTTTATGGCTGCACTTCCGGATATCAAGCATGCCCCGTTGTACATCCGTGCTGCGGAGAACGATGCTAGTCTGGCAACGTCATTTGAGCTACCTGGTTGGGGCATTGCCGCTATTTTGAACCCTTTTGCATTTAATGGCAAGCCTTCTGCTGATGTGTCTGCGGAGGAAACAGCAACAACGAAAACACGTGAATTGCAGCGGGTTATGGGACTTTTTGTCACGGAATTCCGCGCACTACTCGGTGTTCCGTCCTTCACTAAGCGACAACGAGAGGAGGACAGAACAAGTCACGGTACTGCGGAACAGCGACTACTGTTCTTGCCTTCACCCGTTGACGGTATAGCGGATTGGGAGTTGGACGTGATCGCGCGCGACCGCTTCTCTAAGCTCATGCAGACGGCAATTGAGACGCTGCAGTCGACTGTGGAACTTGTCGAGGCTCTGCCGGAGTTGAGTGTACTGGAACGAGTGCAAACTCGAGTGGAGTCTGCCGTCACGAGACTTGAAGCCATCTTGTGTGGTAGCGCTCGGGAGCAGGAGTGTGTAGAAGTGTCAGATCTTCGTAGTCTGCTGGCGATGGCTCGTCAGGCTTCGGAACTCACAGACGCTGCCTACTACGACCACACTATGATCCGTCAACTCTACTTCCCTCAAGAGCAAATGCTGGGTGTATACGCTCCACTTCTGGCTCCACTAATCCTTCCTTTTGTTTTGGGCTTGGTACGTGAGCTCAAACGCTTCAAGGTGAAGCGTGCAGCCACGGGGAAAGTGTAAAGCGAGGTGGCTGAGATAATTACAAGTGATGGCCCGAAATGCAGATACCTGAGTAGTTTCACAGTACATGTATTAGGACGCTGTTAGAATAACGCTACTTCAGTAGTTTTCATAGTAGTGTACTACATTACATGTAGTAGTAAGAAGAAAGCGTACAAATTCATAAGCCGTGGCTAAATGAATGTAACAGAAGTGGGTGCTGGAGATGACGTCGCCCTCATCATTAAGACCTTAAGTGGGTCACATATACTATTTTCTAATTCCAAATTTAGTTTTCCCGATTTTAGCGAATGGCTTCGTTTTCTAATTTATGATGAAAACTTCTACACGCAACATAATTTGATCTTTAAGTTGCTATTCTGAGGGGGAGTTCCATTCGCCAAGTGGAGGGCCACAACATCCACGTTCTCCAAGTAGTCCAGGTATGTGCGTGTGTCTTGTGGCCCATAGCAAATTTTTCGACGTGGAAATCTCACCACCATCTCCGTTTCCGTGTTCTCCTTCCATCTGTGCCACTTACATAATTTAACCTTACCTACAGCGTCAGCTATCTGCTTGAATCCGTCGCCACTAAACTGAGTCACAGCCACTTCCTGCTTTTAGACGCATTTCCCAGCTTCTAAACGTCCGCCATGGCTTCAGAAGGCTCGCCATTCGGCACGTCTCTAGACGGTCTACCGGCCTTCTTTACCAATGGCAACGTGGATGATACCAAGTACGAGTCTCTGCTTGCCGATCTGCGCGCGCACGACCTTCTAGGACCAGTAGAGAGCGGCGCCCAGGCCAGTGACGCCGGTGGCTCATCTCTCTTCTTTAACGACGCATTCTCTGCTGTCTTTATGGGCAATTTTCAGTCAGGAGCTGCCCAAACCAGCGCTGGATTATCAGGCCGTGCGCCGCCCGGATTGGCCCCTCCTTCAGAGGATATCAAGTGGGCCAGAGGTCAGCAGGAATTTTCGAGACTCGAGGAGAAATTCCATGGCTCGGCAGCTGAGAAATCGAGCTCGGCCCGCGCTCCGCCTCCAGGTCTGAGCTTGGAACAGGATTCCGAGCTGGACGAGAGCCAAGTGCCAGGACTCAGGGGACTAGGTCTAGATGACGATGACATTGTGGCCACACAGCCGGCCCAGCAGAGCCCACCTCCGCTTCCACAGGCCCCACCCGCCCCCGCCCCGCGTATGCCGCCCCAGAACGCCCAGCCGCCCAACGCATGGGCTGCGCCTCCAATGGCCACTCCCAACGCGCAGCAACAGCAGCAACATCAGCAATTCATGCCACCCCCACCTCCGCATATGCAGGGCCAACCGCCCCACCCGATGTACATGCAAGGCCCGCCGCAAGGCCATCCAATGCCATCCCCACAGGGCATGTATCCGGGTGGGCCACCGCCTCCGCCGCAGTTTTTCGGACGTGGCCCGCCTCCTCCGATGCGGCCGCCGTTCCCTGGTCATCCTGGCGCGTTTGGCCGCAACGGCCCGCCTCACCCGCCGCCGCAGATGCACCCACCTGCCTTCAAGATGATGACTCCGCGTGATGTGAACTTTGTGATACAACAGCAGATGAAGTGGCTACGCTCGAGTGACCCGTTTAGTGACGACTACTATTTCCATAACTATGTGCAGAAGCGCACACGTACTGGCGTGCCTGGCCGCTCGTCCGTGCCGCTACCATCGTGGAAGCTGCAGCACGTCAAGTCCGTCGACCCGCGCGACGTACAGCGCGAAGTCAAGTCGCGTAACTGGGAATCGGAGTACAACGTGCTGGGCCGCAACGCCAAGAGTAGTCTGTACCGTCCTAAGCAGTTGCTGAACCTGGCCGGCACAGATGAGGCCGCCTCGCCTCCGTCTTCGTCGCCGACAAATGCTGACGACCCGGAGCGTACACCGTTTAGTGGCGAAGAGGACGCCGCTTCTGCGGCGGCCGAATCCAGTAGCGAAGCGGCCAGTGCCAAGCACGTGCGCGGTTCGAGTCCTGGCGCCCAGGCCGTCGCTGCAGAAGCTCAATCCGCCAAGGTCCTGCGTATGAGCAATGATGCCAGCCGTAACTCGGTGTTCGCGAACGATACTTGGCAGCTGCGTCTCCAATTGGATCGTGGAATGCAGTGCCTGCTGTCCCTCCAGGACGCGCGTCATCTACTGGACGCTCGTGGCATCAACGTGCAGCAGTTCCACTCGATGAATGAAGACGAGATGGATCCGGCCCTGGTTGAACTGCGCTCGCGGACGACGTCGCTGCTGTTGGAGCTGGCAGCACTTCTGGGTGTCAACGTGACGCAGGGTGGCGAAGCGGATGCCTCTCGTGGTGTGATGAGCTGTGACGTGCAACAGCTACAGAAAATGCTGACGCCGACTAAGGGTAAAGTACTGGTGAGTCGAGCGCTGCCGCTCCTGCACCCGTCGGCCCGGTTCGTACTTCTGCCGCACCTGGTGGACCACCTGTTGTCTGGACGCACGGACGCCGGACGCCAAACGAACGTCAACGACGCCGGCGACGATCGTCTGTGCCAGACGCTGGTGCTCATGTTGCTGTACGTGCCGCCTGCCCCACCCGCAGAGCTGCTAACTGAGTGTCTGCAGCGTGCGCTGAACGGCCACAACGTGCAGTCTCTGTCTGCCGTACTGCACAACCGTGCGCGCGCCGAGGCTCTACAGGCACTGCTGCAACGTGGTGGATCCGCCGTCCAGCAACTCACGCAGACTGAAGGAGTCGACGCTGAGCACGCGAAAAGCGTCAAGCAGCAATGGGAACACCACCAGAGCGTGTTCGTGCAGCTGGCCACCGCCATCAAGCAAGCGGCTTAAAGTGAAGACCTGTCGCGTTCATTTCTTCACACAACGACAGTGCCATAGGCAGTTTTTTCATCCAATACATGTTGCATTTTTGCTTTCATTGGGCTGACCTGGCTGATAAAAAACGTAGTACTAGTAGAGTTTTCCACTGGTCAATTGATAGCATCGTTCCCCTTCCATCAACTCCCATGTTTATTATTTGCAGCTCTTACATTACTCAAAGTCGCAACAATGCGAGTGAGAGACTCTTTTCGCACTATTCCGCGCTACGCCACAGCGACACGAGCCAAAGTAGAGTCGCCCATGACTCATCTCGACATTATCACAAGCTCGGCTTTGTCTGCAGCGATTACGCGTCTGTCGACTTCAAGGTCTCAAGGTTTGAGCTAAGCGAGAGAGAACACCCCAATATCCTCGGCAGAGACGATCATCGCACACACCAACAAAATCGTAGTGGACCCGTTCCAGCGCGTGTTGTGGACAAGAACCGACGTGGGGAAGAGGTGGAAGGTTTTTTTGGAAGATTCTAATCTCTTGTGTGGATCAGCAGTCACGTCCGCTCTCTATCCTCGAAGAACGCGATCAAGGCTCGTGTACTATGAACCATGTCACTAAAGATATTCGACTCTTCCTTGCAAAATAAACTAGCGGAGAGTGGATAAGTGATGACATGTTACAGCTGTCTTTCGTTGTTCTTGGACAGCCACTCGGCATGACGAGTATGAAGCCTTACTGTCAGATCAAGAAAGCTTTGCCCGTCCAAGAAAATCGTGAGCGACCTTTACCCCGACCAATTTGAAAAGACTGAGGGTGAACAATGTTGAGCTGGCACAATCCAAGCTGACAAACCTCCAAATGTTAATGAGAAGCTGTGCAATGCGCCGTGTCTTGCCGCAAGAAGGGGGCCTTTTAAAACTGTTTAATTGGATTGTGGTCAGCTGAAGGACATCACCGTGGTCGGAAACATCATTGGCTTTACAGGCTCCACGCTTTTCGTTCGCAAGGAGACACTGTGTACTTGAAAATTATAAGGAGTGGTTTCAGATGGTGTCTTACCCAGGAACACTGAGGAGCTGCTCTGCTTCCTGCAGGTACGAAGAGATTCTTTCGAAGCTCGTGGAACGATTTATCATCGATGGCATAAATTTTATGAAGCAGCAATCAGGGATCCTCAAAAATATATTTACTGAACAACCCAGGAAAAAACTTACTTTATGGGCAAGCCACAATTTGAACATTTATTTAACCCAGGAAAAAACTTACTTTATGGGCAAGCCACAATTTGAACATTTATTTATGGATTTTGTGTACGAAATTTATTGTCCTTGTTGGGCAGCTGTCTGCAAACCGGTGCGACCGACGTAAACTCACTTTGAAATAAGCAAACATCGCTAAGTACAAAGTCTCGCAACCTTAGTCATGCCTGACGCCTCTCTGACGTCTTCCCAACGCTCGAGGAGCATTATCTCCCCGAAACCACTAATCTAGTAACACGATCACGTTTTGATGCAGATATTACTTTTAGGAACCCTGGCAGCAATTACCTGTGTGCTATGTAGCGGTTCGGTCATTATGGCGAGGACATGGATGGCACAGTGACCAGTTTCCAGTTAAACTCGCTGCGGTCCACAAAAGGCGAGGTGCTGCTTAGCATGGAGATGTATGTCGCGACGGAAAAGTAGGAGTTCTTCCCAAAATCACGACCTAGATACGTAAGTAACTATTAGCGTGTCAAAGACTCATGAAACTTCTCGGCTGTATATTTGCAAAACTACACCGCCGCGTCTTGCGTTGTCCGTACTTCTGATGGCTTCCTATCGCCTTCTTCAAATGAACTTTGTATTGCGGCGAGTCTGGGAGACAGCACGGTCGCGTCGATCTCGAGTGCACTCGCAGCAAGGAAAAAGTTCTCCAGGCGACAGCAGAATGTAGTTAGGAGAAGCAGACAACCCACTACCAGCAGCTGTGCGATGCTCCACTGAGCCGCATGAAACACTGCGACGTATCCCCAGCAAGTATCAGTGTTTAACGTGGTAGAATTGACGTCATTTGGGTGATTTACAAGGCTGAACAAGCCGACAATGGCCCAACCGATGCATGTGAGGGCGAACACGGTGAGTCCAAGTGCCACCAGCGCTTTACCAGTTCGTGAAGACCCTGAACGACACCTACGCGACGCGAGTGGACAACAAACAGCTAGCAGTGTAGCAATGAACATGAGCAGGAACAAGCAAGTGACTCCAATGAAGAAGAGCTCGGGCGAGACCAACTCCAACGTGCTGCATGCTCCAACTGTACTGCTTTCTACCCACGACGCGACGTTGATTGTCACCAGCAAGGCGAGTGGAGGCAGTAGCAGCGCTCGCTTGGTCAGACGTGAGCAACATGAACAACGCAGACACCAGAGTAGCATCGGGATCTGTGGGAACAGAAGTGAGAAGACATTAAAGTTGAAGTGAGTCATCAATAATGACGTACGTCGAAATCGATTGTGAGCAGCGTCTCCCGCACGCCGAGCCATGTTCCTACTAGTAGGCACCCTCCCGACAGTGCCATACACAGCACTACCAGCCACTGGGATGCGGAGCAGTCGAAGTGTACGCTCAGCACGAATCCCAGCACGCCCCACGTCTCGAGCCCCAGTACTGTCGCAGCCACGCTGCGTCGGAACGTAGGTCTCACGTGATCGTAAAGAGCATTAGTGTCGCATTTCGGTGGGGTATCCTCCTTCATAGTAACCTGGCGACGCAGCGCGCAGGCTGTGACGACGAGCAACGCCAGTAATGACGCCTCTAAGAACACGCGTAATCGCGGTAGACAGTGATCAGCCATAGGAACGGCTGCGAGATAGCAGAACCGCCCAGTCGCTGAGAATGTCAGGTGGGTCGCTGCAGAATAAGCCGCAAGCGGACCAGTCGCCTATTTTCAAGGAGAACCGTCCCCAGCCATGTATTGTACTCATCAAAAGGATTACGTTTTTTTGAACTCGTGTCTGCAATTTGGTGCTGGTATGCCCGCTACATCACGGCTACTTAGACTAAAGAATTCATGCGACGTACTGGCAACTTGCAAGCACGTAGCTGTGGAGCATACCCAGACTGTAGTAATTAACCCTTCAATCTGTTCCGAGCCGGAGTCCCACTTGGTAAACTCGAGTTCGAAGTGGCGTCCGTATTTCGGTGACAGGTGCATGTCGGTGGTCGCACGCATGCAAGGCGAATGTGGCTGTCATGGGCTAGTCGAGCCGGTCGGGACTTGCATTGCAATGCGCATTCGCGTTGAAGAGAGGAGACGATGTAGCCATGTGTTGTGGAACGGCACAGCGGAGACCGGCTGCTGCCATGCCACGGAGACTTGCTCATGCGTCCTCACCTCGAAGCTGCGTGTTGGACGCCGCGTGGCGGGCATACAGTCAGTATGATTTAATACAGAGCTGCGGCTGACTTGGCCACGCAGTGCACTATTATAGTGGTTTCTCGACTCGTTTCTTGGTGCAGCTTCGTCATCTGAGCATGTCGGAGTTGTAGCTGCAAAAGTGGAAGCCGTTCACGAGAGTGGGATGTTCGGCGTCAATGTTCTGATAAGTAGCCAGGACTTGCGCAACGCGGCCTTGTCGCGGCGTCGCCCTTGAGTCAAGGGCCTTGCAATGTACATGTAGATGCAAGTTGCATCTACATGTACATCCCTCCAGTGCTACATCGATGCATTTTACTGTGGGCAGCACTGCTGAGTACAGCGCTCCAATGTCTTCAGCTAAAGACATACGACTATTAACTCACCTCAGGTCAGGCGTAGTGTCCCAATGCGCCACCGAAACAGGAGTCGATCTCGCTGGCAGTATTTGTAACATGGAGAACACGTACGCGTGGACGCAAGTGTCCGCAACCGAATCGTCCATATGCCGTTTGGGCGCCGCACATCGCATGCTGCCGCGTTCGCAGCGCACGCACCTTAACCTGCTGTGCGGCGCTTACAGCCCCGGGCATCGGTGAAGAGCTGTGGTGTGTATTCATATTGGTGATGCACAGCGACCGGTCGGCAGAACAAATGACCAGGCGATTGAATCGTTTTCTGGGGGCTAGATATGCAGCCTGCAGCCACTTCGGTTCGATGGCCCATCATACCGGTAGTCTCGGAAGACAAGCACCTCCTGCGTGACTTGAAGCGCGCTGCTTGGCTGCGCGGAGCCGGAACGATTGCGGCTACCACCACGCGAGCTAATTGCAGCGAGAGTTGACAATGGCAACAGCAGGCATGCCTTGTACACTACACAGTCTACGGGCTGTAGGCAACCGAAACAAGGATATATACAGACGACGCTGTCGCCATCTGCCGCACGGAAAGCAAACGCTTTCGGGTGCCACCTGGGCGTAGTCACGCTTAGAGCAAGAGTTGTTGAATGCAGTAGAGTCGGCAGTGGTTTAACCAGCCGGGGTATTCGAAAGGTACATACATGTACACCGTGGCACGGCCGGCTGGACTTCAGCGTGGACAGTGAGAGCCGATGTGTGGGTCATAGATCGAATTGTTCCTCCGATCACGCCGACCGCTCGTGTCGCTTGCGTAGGAACTCATCCGTTTCTGCACTACGACCTCAGCCGGTGGACTCACTTTTGAATTCAACACACTGTAGACGAGTACCTTGCGCGATCTCCAGCATGCATTTGATGAGCATGAACACGACGGCTACTACCATCGGCAAGAAGCGAGCATTGCCCGCATCGCCGCCCGTTTCGATTGCTACCACATCGGCTTCAAGCATGATGGCTGCAGGGCACGATGACGACGGCGAGGAGATCTTGGTAGACGCGGAGCCACTGCCACATGAGATCGCGACGGATCCTTCGCTACGCTGTCGATACCCAAGTAAACACTGTCTGCGCGCGCGTACGATCAAGAAGACTGGTGCGCTTCACAGTATGTGCACGTTCCACCGCGCCAAAGCGAACCGCAACCAGCGAAGGCTGGAGAAGCGCAAGCGTCTGCGCCTTAATAGCACGGACAGCGTCGCTGAGAGTGTGAACATCAAGCAGGAGCCGTCGACGACGTTGGCGACAGCATTTTCACCGAGTTTTCAGAGTTTCCTGGACGGATCGATCCCAGCAACTCAGTTCCAGTCGCCACGCGAGGTGGCGAGCGAACTCGAGCCGTTCCGCTCACCGGCGGCGTTGTTTCCCGAGGACCTGGCGGAGCTGTGCGAGCTGGTGGACGTGAACGTACGGCGGATGTATGCGGAACCGAGCGAATACGACTTCCTCATGCTATCGCAACTCCTACTGTAGGTGATGGAGGAGCAAGAATATGTATTTAGCTCGAAGCAGTAATGCTTGATGGAATGAAAGATTTGATCGCGACAAAAGGTTGGTTCGCTGCAATGGTAGTACCTTAACCGCTTTACCATTATTACGTGAGATGACGTTAGCCTTTTTAATACCATCGTGATAATAAGTAACAATCTTAATAGACAAGTCTCTATGAGTGGTGTAAGACTAAAATACAGGAAGAAGGGCGAGAAGGCTCAGCATATACTTGGTTGAGAATAGGACACAAAAAGTGCCTAAAGGTGGCCAGTGACAGTTTCGACTTACATCGACTTGCTTCTGAATGTGCTAGTGCTATCTATCGGCAGCTTACAAATCTAATAAACCCTTTCGCGAGCTCAATGATAAACTGCAGAGGTACCACAACGAGAAAGCCCTGAATTCTGATTGGACAAAATAGACTTTGAGAAGATTTATAATTGAAGTCAAACTTTTTTAATATTGAGTCCTGTAGACGGCATCCATTGCGGAATTAAGCACCAGAACACCTGACATTTGTGCGTCTAACCACACGACGAAGAGCTTGTCGCAGTCGCGCATATTTTCCGCTATACGTTCCATCGGCACATCGTCAATCGAAGCAACACGTCTAAAGTCAACCAGACAGAAATCGGTCAACGGGAGCGAGGAATAGCGACTACCAGGGGAGAATCGTGTTATATTATCATCCAAGTTGCTGCCTTCTCGCAACAACTCGATGTCCCAAAAGATGTCACCTACCTGAATTGTAAGCCGGATGCAAACAACGCACCCATATCCGCAGACGTCACGAAAGTGCTTGGTGTGCAGCGATACGCAGCCTCGTAAAATCCCATTTGCCATGTTCTTTCCGGAGATATATTGCTCATCAAACTTCTGCGGAGCGTTTGGCGGATGCTATCGTAATCGATCGATCGTATCACTCGCGCGACCATCTCTGGAAGCGTTTTGGGGACATTTAATGCTCGGACGATGTGACCAACGCGCATCTTGACAAAGTATCGCCACATCACTGGTGACGAGAACTCAATCAGTTTGAACCAAAATGCCCTTTCGAAGACATTGTTCAACTATTTCAGTATCAAAATCAGAGCTGGCGCCATAAGCAATGCGTTCAAGCCGATCCAACTCGTCATCCTTAAGGGTCTTCAGCACCTCCACCGCGCATGTTGATGTCAGCGCGTCAAACAGCGCTCTTTCGTTGGCTTCATACAGTGATCCATCTTTGCAGCATGCGGATCCACTCGGCAGGCAATGGTTGACGACTCGCACTCCTACGACGCGAACCGTAGATTCTATTCAGCTCAAAGATGGTAGACAAAGGTGCCACCTTTTTCAAATTGGCACAGAATTCCTGCACCTCGGATGGCAACCCTTCAAAGCACGTGATACCCTAAAACCACAGTTGGACGTACTCAAAGACTTCGGCTTGACTAAAATTTAGCTGCTCGATGCCCACCACGATCGTACTGTCGAACGGTATTGAAGTAGGGAGTTGCGTGTACAATGCTCCACAGCAAAGCCATACGCTGCAAACATCAATATTCTGACGCTGTCGTTTTTATTGCTGAGAACGTATTATACTTGACCAGCTCCCAAAAAGCAGAGGATTTGCCACTCGAAGTCCACCACCAAATACACCACGCAGTTCCTTCCAGTCAATTTCGCACTGTTTCTTGAAATTATCCTCAAAGGTCTCGTTCTTGTGTGTCGACAACGCCGAGAAGTTGAACACAACCATCTGCTTATTGTCCATGGTATACCTATTCATTAACGATCGGCTCACAAGTGTCGCTAGTGATGTTTTCCCCAGTCATTAGCGGGCTTGTCACCAGCAGAACATACCTCTGTTCGAGGCGGTGAATGATTTCCGTCGTGAAAGTGGCCCGAGAACGCGTTCGTGGATCATCGCGATCAATTCCTTCTCCGCTCACAATCGATCCACGCGTGCCATACCAGGCGATATGCTGAAGTGCAACGCTATTTGCTGGCGGCGATAATGCTAATTCAATCGAACCATCCGGACCCTTCACTAACACATTCACAGGGCCTCTACCCTCTACTTCTTCGTCTTCATCCACTCCACCGACATCCTTATCCGACAACCCCACACGCCGTAGCCTCGCTCGCGCCGCTTCCAGCAGCTTCAGACCAGTCGTATCAATCACACCCTTTGTCACTTATTCTTCAGTAAGCCACGGACCGCGACTCTCATCCTTCTTCGCCAGGACGAGCTGCAGCTTGGCTGCATTAACCTTTTTGAAGTCGTTGGCCTTCTTCGCCTTGATCGCTTTCTTCAAGTCATCCACGGTTTTGCCTTCGTCTACTTCCCCAGAGAAGCCACACCAACGATGGCACAAATGAGCTTCACCATCCCAGCCGATTTTGGAGGACGAGGAGAATTTCCGTTCATATTTGAGCGGAAAGGCGTGATCCTTTCATTTTAATGTCCAGTACTGCTGCCAGTGTGTTTTCAAATCGGGCATGAGTTTGTGTGATATTCAGATCGGTATGTGTGTCCTTCACGTTTCCTCACTATTCTCTTAAGATGAAGACATCATCGAGGTGTTTATATATAGGTTGAGTCATTCAGAAAGCAAAATAATCAGAAACAGGTACTTGTACTACAGTACATAAATGTCTGATTTGTATGATAGTAATCATGTTATGTAGCAAGCATTTCCCCGAATTGTTGAAATACAAGTACTTATTTGAAAAGCAAGCAGCTCATCCGTCACTTACTTTCTATAGTTGCCGAGTAGGCTCCACGAAGTCTAACGGGTAGAATCCGCTCCTAAGCGGAGTCCATTTTGTGCCTGAACAGGCTACAATGGTAAGCAATTGAGCTGTATCATCTTCACAAATCGGCGAGTTGCCCGCTTCTATCAGGTCACTTACGGCAGCTTCTGTCCATGATGGCAGAGACGTAATACCGGTGTGCGGAAGCCACAACACGCCAATGTTCAGCCACTCTTTTGCCGTTTCGGGGAAAATTTGTAGTGGGTTGTAGGAAAGTGCCAGTGTGGTATAAAAACTCGGGTATAAATCTGACGAAAAGAGATCGTCAGGTAGGGCCTTGATGTTGTTATTCACTAGCGAAACTTCCACAATCGGAAGACGAAAAAAAGCTGTAGGAAACTCCTCCAATGTTGAATGCTCAAAGTAAAGTGTTTCTGCGTTAATCCACGCTTCGGCCACTGCATCAGATATTCTGGAGAGATTTGATAATACAATCTCGAAGTCAGACAGATGATAAGGCAGTGGAGACGTCAGCACTCCTTCCGGCAAAGTCGTCATATTGACCCGTACCATGACGAGAAAGGCCATTTTCGGGTGTACATCTGCGTTTAGTGCTGCTTCACTTCCCCACTTCACAATTGTCACGTTCCAGAGCTCAAGACCCAACAGATTTGGGAATTCCCTGATTGAGGACGGCATCCGGAACTCTGAGCAATGCTCGAAGATAATCGACGCCAAAGCATTGCGCTCCAAACTATCGAGAGCGCTCTCTCCTGGACTTGTCACTCCTTGACGATAGCAATTGAACTTCACCACCGAACAGCTAACGTTCTGCGCGAACCACGGTCGCACACTTTGCTGACACATTTGAGCTGTACCAGAGTTCGCGCTAGCTACGAGCGTATCAGCTCGAACATGGAAAGTCAACACAACTGTAGAAACCAACATGAAAAAAATAAAAACTACGATATCCTGAAGTTTTCCTGGGCTCGACAACTCCGGGGGATGTTGTGGATATGCCGAAGATACTTTGTTTGCAGTGGTCCTGACGGACGAGACGTTCAAAGGGTTTTTCTCGAGAATAAAACTGATGCTTGCCAGTCCTAGAAACAGAGATCCATGTGGGATAATCTTTAGTAGACTGTCCGTGATAGAGAGCGCAAAGATGGACTGGTTCTCGTAAATGAGCCTGGTATACGTTGCATCGTCATAGAATATTTCAATTGGGAAAGTCGAGTCAAATTTACGTGCCCACGGTACAAAAATTGCCAGTGGTAACGCTAGACTTGAAATTGAGGTAAGTAATGTATCCACCGTCACACAAAAGGTTCGTTCACGAATGGCTGGGATTCTCGCACTGTGACTTCGTTTTGAGGATACGTGCACTTTGATTATGACACGGGACGCAGACGCGAGCATCAGGTGGTTCAATAGTGGAGTTATCAAACAATTGATCACAGTCATGGCTACAAATGCCTCATTTATCCACACACGAGAGATGAGCGTACTGTAATTGTGACATTGGTAAATCTGCGCGGAAACTTCAACAGCTTTACGCAGCACGAATACCAACTCGAAGTGGCTCCCTTGGACGCTCAGAGCCTTCTCTAATACTGTCAGTACTCGCATTCCCGTATTGTGTCTTCGAGCTTTTGATTCGGCGAAGCTGGAGGGGTTACCTGGTTTATAGCTCGTGATAAATTTCATAAAGCGAGTAGCGACAGCATTTCGAGGCCAAACTACAAGAGACCGAGCGCGAATGGATGAGGCGATATGTAGTAATAGTTGAACCGCATGTAAAGCACCGAGAATTCCCACAAATGTGCCAAAAAGTCGAAATCTGCGCTGGTCGGGATAAGCCAAGAGGCTCGAGATGTAAGCCATGTTCGATTGCTCCATAAAGAAATACAACCGCGCCATGGCAAGCAAGTACGCCGCGCATAGAGCGTGAAGAGCCATCAACACCAGCCAAACGATCACAAATTCCTGGCGTGGTAGCCTTATAGGCTTCCGCTTTTGAGTGTAGCCCTTTGTGTCGACCATGTAGCTATCTTCACGGGTCATCGTCGTTCCCCTTGTGTAGTTCTCGTGGTTGCGCCGGCCACAGTAACGCTGTGTTTATATGAGCCATCTAAGTGCCAATCCCAGGAATATTTTTGCCTTAGACATGCTGTACCTAAATATAGCTGCTCGACTGAGTCTGTAGCCATGTCCTTCTTGTGCATCTAATTTAGAACGTTCTAAAAGATAACGCTCGTTCGTCCCTTCAGTTCTGAGAATTCTAACGATTCATGAGTTACTCGTATGGTGGCGGGGGCTACGGCGGCGGGGGCTATGGCCAGGGTCCTTCCAACTTTTCTGGTGATGTAGGGGCCTACGCAGCCCAAGTGCAGCATGGCCAGCACTTCGGCCACCACCCTACGCCCCTCCAGGCTGTGGCCCTCCCCGACGTCTTCACCGAAGCCGAGATGGCCCGCACATTACGACGCAACAATGGGGACGTGATGCGTGCGGCCCTACAACTCAAACAAAAGCACGCGTTCCGGACGGAAATGCACTACCAGGAACTCAACGTGGGACTCCCCACTCTACAAGAAGAACTACGCAAAGGCTACGCGCATTTACTGGACGGGGCTGCGGACTCAGAGCGCTGTCCCGTGTTATTACTGCAGCTCCAGCACTTCAAACCAGGATTCGGAGATGGTCATAAGCTGCAGCGTCAAGGCCGCGGAGCGGCCGACGGGTCGGCCGTCAGCTCTCTAGAAGATGCACGCAGACTATGCGTGTACCTCATGGACTTGGCCGTCGAGCTCATGGAAGAACGAACCGCCCCGGGCATCGTGTTTATTGTAGACGTGGCCAACTGCACACTGGCCAACCTGGAGGCCAAGATGGTCACAGATATATTACAAGTCTGTAAGAACTGGTACCCAGAAGTGGTCAAGCGGATTTTAGTAGTCAACAGCTCGGCCTTTACCAAAGTGTTGACAATGTTACTGGCCAAGTTACTAGGAGCGCGTACCCAGCAGAGAATCCGAGTCATGGGAGATCCACGAGAACTTAACATGATGCTGCCTCCTCCGGCCATTCCTCAATGTTACGGAGGAAGTTACCAAATGATACATCCCAATATGTGGATGAAGAAGCAGGCCGAGCTGGAAGACGTCGATCTCGATGCGGCCTACAGTGTCCATGATGAGGCCGAGGAAGAAGACAAAGGATACGGCCTGGAAGAGCGTGAAGTGGACCCCAACGAGAGTCTGAACGGCATGCAGTACGCCAATGTGAGTGCTGTGAATGCCGCTGAGATGCCTAATAGCGTTCTGCGGGGCCCTTTAATGAGGAAGAAGATGGACGGCGTGTGGGGCAAACACTTCGCATTGTTACGGCCCGAAGCCGTGCTGTTGTACGAGAATGTTACCGGTGTACGGCCACTTATTATCATTCCGGTAAACTACGAGGTGCGTGTGGTGGCCGCGCCATTTCCGGATAAACCCAAGAGCTGCGGGTTCCGAATCGAGGTCCCTGGAGTTGTCGGTGGCCATGAACTAGTCGCTACGAGTGAACAAGAGCGTGGGAATTGGCTGCAAGAATTGCAGTGGGCCATCGACAATAACAAGGAAAAACTGGAACGTCGAGAAGAACGAGAAGAACGTCGAGCCAAGATTCATCGCGACTTTGATGCGCTCGATATGATCAACTTTGACGTCGATCTACCGGCGCCTCAACCTGTTAAAAGTGATATTGGAACCTCTGCAGTGATGCAACAACAGGTGCGATCTCCTCAGCCTGTTGGAATGCCAATGCCCGTCCCCATGTCAAGGAATACAAGCACGATGGGGATGATGCAACCGATGTCGATGGCCATGTCGCCTCAGTCGATGTCTATGGGGATGCAGTCTCAGCCGATGAGCTTCGGAGCACAGCAACCGATGAGTATGGGAGGCCAGCAACAGATGATGCAGCAGATGGGCTATGGAATGCAACAACCGATGGGGATGCAACAAGGAATGATGAACATGCAGCCTTTGATGGGGATGCAACCGATGCAAATGGGGATGCAACAACGACCAATGCAAATGCCGATGACTGGGCAGCACGGAATGAATGTGCCTACACCGTCGGGCTACCAACTTAACTCGAAGTCACTCCAGGAACAGCTACTTAATAATTTTCGTGGCTAGATGTGATGAAGGTGCGAGTCGAGTGGAGAAGGCAATAAAATATATGAGCTCTTTTGGTATAAGAGAACCTTATTTTTAAAGTAAAAAAGCTAGGTTTTTTTCGTACGCGACTCTTGGTAGCATTTATCAGTCAGTATCGCTCACATCAGGTGTCCACAAAATAAGAAAATAATGATTTATAAAAAGCTGTGCTAAATAGAGACCCCTTTTGAGTTTATTTTCAGCGAATCCCGGCTGCCACAGGATTGCCTAAATTGATTTGCATTCGAGAACTTTCGCAGCCACGCTTTCTATTTAGTTTCAGTCTCAATATTACAACTGCTAACTCACTGCCAGCTCTGCACCTTACGACATGGAAGAGAACGCGCCGTTGAGCTTGCCCCCTGCACAACAAAATGATCAGGAGAACCTAACAGTGGGTGGGTCTTTCGTACAGCCCGCTGGTCCAGCTCGAAAGAACTTTACGACAGCCGATGATCTGATTTTACTGCGCGCTGTCAACACGATCAAGCCGTGGGAATCCGCGAAAGGTACAGCGAACGGTATAATGAAAAGCTTTGACAAGATTGCAGACATCTGCAATGAAACGGCTGGTTTCGTGCGAGACAAGCAAGGCCCAGCGCTGCGTACGCGCTTTGATAAGCTTATTCGTCAGCATCGCGACGCACAAGTAGTTTCAAGGAGGTCGTCTGGAACGACGGAAGAGTACAACGAGAGAGACGTGCTCTTGCAAGACATTGTCACCCGTATGGACGACTGGAAGGAGCGTCAAGATAGCGAAAAGCAGCTCCAGCGTGCCAAAGATAATGGCATTGAGGCGTCGGGTGTCTTAATGCGTCGATTGGCAATGGGAGAGCTGGTGGAAGAGCTGCAATCCGACACAAATTCCAACAGTGATGAAGGCAACGAGGGACAAGACGAAGGTGCAAATGCAGGCACTTCCTTATGAGGTAGTCAGAAGCGTGGGAACAGGGCTAGCAGCGGTCGCGCTACCAAAGTGGGAAAGATAGAGCTAGTAGCAGCCGTGACTGATGCTATCGCGATTGCAATCACCGAGATGAATAAGGGGAACCCTGAGAAGTATGTGTATCTTAATAGTCGCTTACAATTCGAGAAGGACGAGGCCAAAAGAATGAGAGAGCACGAGTTAAAACTGGAACAGCAGCGTCAAGAAGCTGAGCGCGCACGTGATGAGCGTATGCAAGCTGCTGAACGTGACCGCGAGAAGTTTATGTTGCAGCTACTGGAAATAGCTCTCGGACGTGCAAAAGACAAACAGTAACGGATTATAAACAAACGACACGTTTTGTCATTCTTAATTTGCGTTAAGATAGCTGTCTACTGATGGTGGAAGTAAATTAAAGTATATAGATATCTGGTTTCCTGTTGGTTGAAGACATGCATGAAGGTTAGATAGTAGCACTCCAACAACGAAAAGCTTTCCAACCGCGGTCTGTCGGGTTCGCAGCTTTTTATCCCAATTCAGGAATGACCATAGCATCTTGACACGCCCGAATCCCCACTCTACGGCCTCGCGAACACTGCTCATACGCGAATTGGAAAGTTTTATAGCTCCATTTGATCCAGGATTTTCGAATGGACAGCAAACGTACTGACTGCAGCCATACGCCGGATCTCCGTAAATTACTTTTCCATTGAAAAGCATGGATTCATTATTTTTAAAGACATTACAAAATACCACTCATGCTTAACATCGTCGAATCATGCCGCCTGCCTTCCACGGGACCGAATATGCTGACAATTATTCCATCTGGAGCTGTAACTGCTTGCCAGTTGAAGCAGTGGCGTCTCGGATGACCATTATACAGGGATCTTTGTAGGTTCTCGTATGGTGACGTCGGATTCCTACGAGCGCTTGGTCTGGATACATACTCCTTAGTTCCATCCACAAAACCCCAGCAACGTGCTAACGGGGAGCACTTGGCTCTAATTGCGTCGCAATACCTCTCAATACGGGCTGCAACAATACCATGGTTGAAATACAGGAGAGCCTTGTATTTGTTGTACAACGTATCCGCTAAGTGGCGACAGACGCGCGTGTACGCCCCAGGTGATCTGCCGAACTCATTAGCTACTGTATACAGCATCGATGGCTCCTTCAGCCTTCTGCACAGCATAGCAAGCGCTTCAACGGTCGGAACAGCGTCACGCTCTGGGGTAATAATGACTGGTTTCGGTAAATGCATTTTGGTCGCTAGCAATTGTAGCTGAGGCATCGTAAAATTAAAGCGTGTCCGTGCCGTCACGTCGTCCATGGAGGGGTCGAAGTGGTTGCTTGTGTTGATCCGAGGAGGTGGGTCTCGAAGACGGAAGCAATGACTGGCGATGAGGAAGTGCATTGTGCGCAGGAAGCGCTTCCGATTACCCCGTGCAGCAAGCAACAAACAGCTAATGATGACACGTGCTTGCTCCGCTGTGAGCTTCGGTGCTATGAAGACCATTGACGAGGTTGGATGGTGCTAGCTGTGAAGACGAAAGTGAGCTCAAATCCGAGTTGAGCAAACCGGCCAGTTAGCTCAAACGCAATTCTGTTTGAGTATCGTGTTTGAGAGGCTCACCCTAGAAACTCAAAAGAAGACTGAAACTCAACAAAAAACAGGTTGCGAAAGGTCTCTAATGAATACTACTGTAGTACTTCGCATTTAGAGAGCATAAAATTGTGAATAGGAAGACAAAATACGCGCTGTCTGGTTGACCTTTTCAAGAAGATGGGTGTCTCCTATTAGGTTTATTACTGCTGGAGCCACTGTACTCGAACTACATTTTCACGCCGCACACTTGGCGAGCACAGTGACTTGGAAGTTATGAAAATGTGTCTGCAAGGTCTTCGGCCACGGTTTGCAGTCAATGTGAGCTTCTCGGTACTTAATTACATCTGCTACAGACATGGAGTGTTGTCTCCGCCCATAGACGCTCTAGATCGTCTTCAAGGTGATGCTGTCACTACCATCGTCTTCGAGCATCGTCCAGCATTTGAGATGCCTTCAGCTATCCGTCGATTCCCAAATTTACTGGGAATAAATCTCTGGAATGTCTCGATCATAAAATGAGATGCAGACGTTGCGTGAACGCCAACCTTCATCCAAAAACGTTCTATCTTATCATGGCGTACACGAATATGATTGAGATGCCTCGAGGTCTTCTAAGCCACTACTCCACGACTTGGAGATATCGAAATTTCAATTTTCAACCTTGAAAGTGTTCCGGACGAGGTGGTAGATGCGTGGTCGAACGTTCGACTCGTTCATCTGGATCATGCGCCGCTCAAAGAGCTCCCAACTGCGTTATTTAAGATTCCGTCGCTGTCAGTGTCTTTACTGGACGAATATATGGAGATCTGCGATCAAGAAGCTCTCATCTTGGACAAGAGACAACTTATTTGTCAACTATCTGATTGTATCATACGGAGTTGGCGGAATTGCCTTCGTGGGCCCATGGAGCTGGTCAGTGGGTTAATTTGGGTGGCTGTCCAATCTGCAATGACACGGAAGCAACTCTACCGGAAATTGCAGATTGTACCGACTCGAAAAATAGGGCGAAAAATTATTCTTAAATATTTGAGAAGCGTTCGGCAAAGCGATAAACAGTTTTCGTCTTTATAGTTGTAACGTGTATTGTAATACCCGCATGTCTAAACTTTAATACCCACAGTTTCCTTGAAAGCCTGTAAGTTCCGATTTCTCAGGTTCGGTCTGGAGTTCCGGCTTCTGATAATGACGCGCCTGGTTCTCGCGGTTTTATCGCTTCATAATAATTCTAAGAGCCCTGGCACGCTTAATATTTGCTCCAGCTGGGATCCAGAAGATCGTAGAAATGAGGAGCGAAGAAGGCTGCAGGTTTTGAGCTAAAATCAACTGATAAGGTGGCTGTAGAAACATAAGAATCTTATTTTTCACGAACTACATGTAGACGGCAACGAAGTAGCTCCTTGACACCAAATGTCAATCATTTTCTACTCGATCTCTCGAAGCGGGGCTACCAATGCTAGCGGGTATCTACCGTCACTTATCGGGTTCCACCCCCGATCGGCACAGTCTCCAATATCTGGAATCACCGCTTCTGTATCGTTGCATACTGGAGATCCACCAAGATTCATCCACTGTCCGACCCCATCGACCCACGCTGGTAACGTCTTCAGTTCGGTATGATCGACCGCTAAATAGTTAATGAGAAGTCCGTCTTTGATCGAGGATGGGAGCTCTTTGATCGGGTTGTATGAAAACGCGATCTCCAGGTATTCGTCAAGCAGAGAGACAGTCGTGAAGAGATCATCCGGGATGGAGTGCAAACCATCATCGATCAAAGATACAGAGAGTGACGGGATCTTAAAGAGCGCAGTCGGGAATTCCTTCAGTGGAGCGTGTTCCAGATACACCAGTCTAACGTTGGACCATGCGTCTGCCAGCTCGTCTGGAACAAACGTTAGATTGGTGATAGAAATTTCGATATCTCCTAGCAGAGGTGGCAACGGAGCCGTCAGCACACCTCGAGGCAACTCTGTCATATTCGTGTAAACCATGATCAGAAAAATCATTTCTGGGTGCAGATCAGCGTTCAACGCAGCTTCCTCGCCCCAATTTACAATTGACACATTCCATAGTTCCAGTCCCAGAAGATTCCGGAACCTGCGGATAGATGGAGGCATCTCGAATTCGGGACAATGTTCAAAGATGACAGCCATCACTGCGTCACTTTGCAGATGATCGAGTTGGTCACTAGCAGGCGTGAGGACCCCTTGCTTGTAGCAGTTGAACTTTAGAACGGAGCAACTCACGTTGACAGCAAACCACGGCCGGAGTCCTTGTAGACACATTTTCATGGTACTCGTATCCGCGGTTTTGGCCAAGTGGGCAGCACGAAGATGTAGCCCAAGAACAACAGCCCCTGCAGTCAGGAAGCCAAGAGGAACTACGATATGCCTCATCAGACGAAGACCAGCTACGTGACGTTGGGTACTCTGCTTGTTGACATTGATCGCTTTAAACTCTTGCGGTCTATCAGCAGGCGACGACTTCACCCTCTTGACCTTCTGCGGAGGATACAGTTCGAGAAGGAGACTGATGCTCGTCATTCCAAGCAGAATGCTAAGATGTGGTACAAGTTTCGTGACACCATCGATAAAGCTGAGCGCAAATAGTGCTTGGTTCTCTCGAATGAGATTCGGAAAGGACACGTCGCCGTAGAGAATGTCGTATGGAAATCCATACCAGGAAGCATTGAACACTTGAGCATAGGGCACGAAGACAGTGAGCGGTAGAACTAGACACGCAAATGCCGTTAGCAACGCGTCTATAGACACACATACAACACGCTCTCGAATTGCGATATCTGCATAGCCGGCAGTACGCGTTGACGTTCGACTCTTGGGTTGTGACTCCGAAGCAAGCATGAGATGGTCAAGTAATGGTGTAACCCAACAGTTCGTCACCACCATACCTGCATATGCGTGATTGATCCACACTCGACCGATCAGTGTACTGTAGTGATAGCATTGTATAATTTGAGCACCAACCTCCACAGCTTTACGCGTCACGAAGACTAACGCAAAATGATTTCCCTCGACACTCAACACGTTCTGCACCGAAGCCGTGGCAGAACTAATCGCAACGATGGAATTCCTTGACCAAGAAGTCCGTGGCGCGATAGATTGATCTCTCTTAGTCTTCTTAAGCCTTTGAACCCTCCGTACCACGCTATTGACAATAGCAGTACGAGGAAATACAGCGGGGGCTCGAGATTTGATCGACCATAGCAAATGAAGAACCAATTGTAGTCCATGCAAAGCTCCCAAGATGCCCACAAGCATACCGAACAAGCGAAAGTAGCGATGTTCCGGTAACGTTAGAAGGTTGGTGTAGTAGGCCATAAGAGGGTTTTCCATGAAAAAGTAGAGTAGTGCCATTGCAAAGAGGTAGGATGCACATAGACCGTGTAGCGCTAACACCAGAAACCACACCATCACAAACTCAACAGTCGACAACGGGTCGGTTGAGTAGGTAGATTTGGATGTTGGTGAATGCTGAGAATCAGTCGAATTGGGCGGAACTATGCTGAAGAAGCCGTCACCCTTAGCAGCGACCACCATACTGGACAAGCCGGATTTAATGAAGAGGTACTGGAAAATGAGACGTAGTTGGACAGCCAAACCGGAACAACAAACAAGAATATTAATAGAAAACAACAAACACCATTGTGAATGTCCTTCACCAACGCAGTAGGGGTACCTACTGGTCGTTCTGGTACGCTGTATTTTTACCTCCTTGCTACAAGTAATTTACAAAATGCAATTTGCCGTTCTGAGTATTTCTTACGGGTGTTAGTTGGGTTAACTTTTTCATGGGTAGTATTCGCACATGACCTCGATTTGTTCTTTTAGCGTTGTCGATCTTTCTGTTGATGTGCAGCATCCCTCGAATTTCTCCTTTGAGCGAGACAAGTACTTCAATGACCAAACTGGCGGTTTGCGTATTAGTTATAATTACCGCTGTAAGTGCCGATAACGTGCTCACAGGGTACTAACTAGTTTACAAAAAGAGGTGCATATCATGCACCTCTATTACATATATACATGTAATATCCGCTGGGCCATCTGAATTTAGACTTAAATAAATTATCCGACCTAAACCTGAATACGATCCGAGAAAAAAATCTACCGATAGTTGTATCTTTCGACGATGCGTTTGTGCAATTCGCAAAAATACGAAACACATTACCCTCTTATCTGTTCTTACTAAGATTAATGCCTTCGATAAGAGGCACTCGGTTTATAGTTAAATTAGGTGTCCGACTACTTTCCTCGTGCTGCTATGGCTACTCGCTTAGTCAGGATAGTCGAGTCGAGCGTTTAAAGTGGCCAACATAGGTCAACCTGTCGCGCCACGGAGCAGACAGACGCAGGGTCAAACGTCAGACTGGTGTATCTGGAACACGCTCCACTGAAGGAATTCCCGACTAAGCTCTTTAAGATCCCGTCACTCTCTCTATCTTTGATCGAAGATTGTCTGCACTCCATTCCGGATGATCTCTTCGCGACTGTCTCTCTGCCTGACGAATACCTGGAGATTGCGTTTTCATACAACCCGATCAAAGAACTCACATTCTCGATCAAAGACGGATTTCCCGTTAAGTATTTGGCGGTTGATCATACCGAACTGAAGACATTACCAGCGTGGATGGAGCTCGGTGGAACTCCAGTATGCAACGATACAGAAGTGGTGATTCCGGAAATTAGAGACTGAGTCGATTGCCGTGGATATTGGTCGACATGTCGAGTAGACGAGGATCTCACTGAACAAAACAACTGAAGTGATAATTGCAATTAGATGGTACCAAATTTAGTATGGAAGTGTGTTTTGTTGTCTTAACTGTTGGTCTACTGGTAGTTTTGGTTGTTGTGACGATGAGTTGAGTACTCATTGTTTCTGTACTTGTTGTTTCTATTCTCGTTGTTTCTGTTCTCGTTGCTTCTGTACTCGTTGTTTCTGTACTCGTTGTTTCTGTTGGCGGAGTTCTGGTAGTTTCGGTTGTTGTTTCTACTAGCAGAGTACTGGTTGTTCCAATTGTTGCCTCTGTTTGCAGAGTTTTGGTAGTTTCGATTGTTGTATCGACTTGCCGAGTTGCGATATCGTTGATTCCACGAGTAATTCACATCGTAGTTGCCGAATTCGCGCTGCTGCTGTTCGAACTTGGCTGCAGATTCCGCGAGTATCCGCTGTCGCATCACCTCGGTAGCGTGTCGATCTGCAGCCTGCCTCGCCTTCGCGTCTCGGTATTCCTGCTGGAAGTTGGAAGTCATTATACTTATTACGACGTCGAATCCCCATAAAGCAAGAAGCGTCATCACTATGAGTATCCAGCGACGCGCAGACATCGTTGTCATCTTCGCTTCCGTCGCTAAGAAATAAAACTGACGCTGCTGTCTGAAAGGACTCACCATAGCTACTTTTAGCAAAACTCCTTTTCACTATTAAAATAAAATGTAGCGGGGGCGCTGTAGGTTTCCAACTACTCGAAAGCAATGCTTTAATGTGCGAGGATGAAGCTGGCAACTAGGACACTCTGTATCATTAGCCACAAAATATAGAAATGAGGCAAAAATCCGTCGAACAGACTCCATTTAATTAGGTCATTAGACGCGCTCTTCCCAGCAGTTCGTACCTGCATGAGAGTGAGCATTGAGAGATGGTTTTAAGTAGTAAAAGTCTACTAGAATTAACTGGACTTAGCAGCCTCCTCGACCTTCTCGGGGTCGTACGTGAACTTGCGGTAGAACTGTACGAGGCCCGTGCCGGCCATGAAGACGTTCACGGCGAAGAGGTTCCAGTTCTTGGGGGTAATTACCATACTATAGCGAGACCAGATCACGCCCGTGCCAGTGACTGCCGTCTGTTGAGCCACCGAAATGGTCTCAGGCGAGCGACGCATGTCGGCGACGTTGGCCAGCGAGATGGCCCACTTGATGGTAGGCGCCCAGAAGTGAACAGTGAAGGGACCCGCCGGGTGGCTCACCATGGCCGTGAGCTTAGGGCTGTTGGCCACGATCTGCTGCTCAAGGACCTTCTGTTGGATGCGGGGGACGATGGACGGCAGCATCTTGGACGACGAAGATGAGGTCTTGCGGGTCTGATGAGGGGCTAAATTGTGTGTGAACTGCTTGGAGTTACTCATTTTCTAGCCGCAAGGTATATGTATATTTTACGAAAAGTAGACATTATTTTAGCTTAGACCAATGAAAAACGGTATTTGAATTGAATTGGTTTATGCTTTTAAAATATTTACAGATAGCCGCAAGCTGAAGTTAGCTTCGGATTCGACAACGGGAGTCGGTTATTAATACGATGTTTGTATACAGACGCCACTCGAATGACGACTTAAAAACGCGAAGAGTTTTTCGGACAGTGCACAGTACCTCTTCAACTATGTAGTATTATCTATTCCAGCTGTATGCCTCGCACTCAGCGCAGCGGTCACGCGTACGTGTACACGCGCCGTACTTATTCTTTGTTCCATTTGAATTGCAACCGTGAGCTTTAAAGCGGCTTCAGTCCACGTCAACTCAGCAATCATTCCACTAGTACTACTCCACAACGACTCAGCTCTGGTTCGTGTCAATGATATTCAGGTCACCAGTTAAATAGATAGCTCAGAAGCCGCGAGCAAATGTCCTGTCGACGTCGTGGAGGCAGCATGATGTCGGTGTCGATGGGGTCAACCTCCAGGTTTCTAGATCCCAGACTCTGACGGGCCTGGGCGCCAAAGTAGCTGGACACGGGCGTCTCGTCGAGTGCGTTAGCATCCCGGTCGGACGGATAACATTTCTTGACTCCGATCATGATGTTGTTCGCCAGCGTGCGTCCGTCGTAGCTGAGCGCCTTCTCGGCCTGCAGTCTCGTGTGATAGCGCAGTTGCAACCAGTTTCCTCCACTGCTACTCGAGTAGTTGACAACTTCGCCCACGGACTGGAATTGGTGAAGGATAAAAGATTTAGCGCTCGACGGGAAGCCAAACACTGTGACCCAGTACTGTTTGTCCTGTCCCCACTCGTCGCTGTGAATGTTCGGGTAGTTCGAGACTCTAGCGGCCATGGCAGTACGTCGTGCAGCCGCAGCAGCCGCCGCTTCGTCATCATCCACGCTGTGCGATCCTGCTGCAAAGCCCACGGGGTCTAGTAGCGACATTGTAGGCGGGGGCGGCACGTCTTCGTCTTGACCCTCAGCAGCCGAAGAAGACACGTTTTTGCGTCTACGGGTGCCCAGACCATCCTGGTAGTTGCCATCGTAGCTGAAGGGCGAGTCGTCCGGGATCTCTACGCCCTGTTGTTTTTTGCGGGTCATGGATAAGCTCTCGGCGAAGGTGAGTCGAGGTTTTCCCTTGGAATACAATATATCAGCCTCAGAGCGAGTACGAGGGGCGCTTTCCTTGGACTTGTCTGCCTTGGGAGTGGATTGGAACGCCGTCAGGAACGACGGGAAGTACTCGTCATCTTGTGCGGCCAGGGGACGGCTAAGACGAGGAGCCACAGACAGAATGGTGAGCACTCAATGTGTGTTACGAGGTGTGCATATACAGGGGTAGGAAAAGGCTGCCAGAGAGCCTTGCGTACCTTGCGGACGCCATTTTGGATAGGAGGTTACGCGCTCGATCGATGTACTCCACTGAAGTGGAGGAATCGGTTTTGTCGGGGCTTCAGACTTCCTCACTTAAGTATACAAATGTGTGGGCCACGTTATGTGGTGTGCGTTGATGCTGTTCGTGTTGAATTGACAGTGTCAATTTGCAACTCACAATGCCGTTAAAGCAGCAGCGTCACTTTGAGCGCATTCTGCATCGCAATTGCTATTAATACGTGTGCGTAGTACTACGCTGGTAGTTCGCAAGAGGTTCTTGTTGAAGTGTTCGAAATAAATTAATGAGGCTGCATTTCCTCGACACTTTCATGATGGCAAGCAGCCATACATTTCCTACGTAATAACAGATTCCTTTCCGCAGGTGTCGCGCAGAGCTGCTCCAACACTGTGTCCGGCTTAAAAAAAACTTTGATGCATTGTGCTGCAGTATTCATGTTTTCGGGTCCACGGCAAGTGTGAAACTCCCTAACACAGTACGCAGTTCAGGCTACATGTACAATAATTGTCTGTCAACTTGACACATTAAGAGTACAGTGTCAAGCACTCTCAATGAAACAACGCTCTGCTTTCCGGGCCGAGCGCACTTCAACTCAAATGTCACTTGCGCATCTCTAGCAGGTTTTCATTCCTCTCGTGCCACTCAGATACAGGTATGCACTGCTCAATCTCACCCCGCACGAAAGTCTGCCGCAATCCATTTCCTCGCAGAAATACGCGAGCTCAGCTAACCATACATTGCCTCCATGCGATCCTGCCTTTAACGTTTATAGCGACTGTGCATTCAGCAGAGGCACGGATAGCTCCCATGAAAGCGGTGGCAAAAGTGCCGGCGGCAGCGCTGGTCTCGGAAACGCAACCTCGACCAAAATCTCACTTAGCACCCTTATTATAGCGGCCGAGGGCGTAGCTGGTTCCCATTCCTCGCCCAAAGTCACCCGAACTTAATCACCGGATAAGCTGTCCAATGGTGTGTTTAACTTCCTCTCAGCTAGTGCAACCGGCGCCGCCAATGGATGCGCGCCGATCTGCCCTCACCACCAAAACGGAATAAAACACCTCCTGAAGTGCAGAGCCGTGCGACTGAGCCATCAATAGCGACGCAAAAGCGTCATCGTATCGACCACGATCACGGGGGAAAGCGAAGCACAATACTTCCCGAAATGTTAAGGACCACAGCAGCGCCGATAGAAGACTGCATCATAGTTTCCAATGTCTAGCCCGGAGACTTTTCTGGAATGGTGGCTGCTACATTGCATGCGACTCAGAATGACAGTCACCGTTCCAGAAGATACTTGGAATAATAGTCGTTGATTGGCTGCAATAGGACGGCAGTTTCGGTCGTTTCATGTCCCCACGTTATGTTTAAAACAGCGATAGAACCTCGAAGCCAAGGTTTTTCCAGATGATTTAAACAGCCTAAACATACCTGGCCCTCATGACCGCAGCTCTGGCGACGCACTTTGAAAAAGACCGTCAGAAGCACCACCAGAACAGCTCCACCCCACACACACATCTAGAACAATGGTTAACGTTGCCGGCGGAAAGGGAGACGCTGCTAAGGGCGCCAAGATCTTCAAGACCAAGTGCGCTCAGTGCCACACCACTAACGCTGGTGGCGCTCACAAGCAGGGCCCCAACCTTGCTGGTATGATCAACCGCCAGTCCGGCCAGGCTGAGAACTACTCGTACTCGGCTGCCAACAAGAACTCGGGTGTCGTTTGGACTGACGAGACCCTGTTCGAGTACCTCCTTGCTCCCAAGAAGTACATCAAGGGTACCAAGATGGTGTTCGCCGGCCTGAAGAAGCCGCAGGAGCGTCGCGACCTGATCGCTTACCTGATGGAGGCTACCAACGAGTAAGCTTACAAATGGGAAGACAAGAGGTGCGCTTCGTCGGTTGCAGAGTCCTCGCAGATGCCAGGATGATTATGTTCGCTGAGCCACGCAGTGGCTAGTTGAAAAATGCTGAAGGGAAGCTGAAACCTATAGCATTGTGCGGCTGCGACCTGCTTGCGACTCTTGTGTCACTCTAGATTATATTTTAAACATTGAAAAGAGATCTTCTTCGCAATTTAGCTCCAAGTTCCGATGTTTCGCTCTACAGGCAGTCGAGGAAGCTGGAGAATATGCGACGTGTACACTGCCACGTTGTCCCAGAATTGGCTCCGAAAAACTCTTTGTCAATCAACAATTGTACCAAGTGTTTTTTCACGGGATCATTCCGATGTGGAAAGCAGCTTCGTCGAGTTGCCGCGTCCGATACGGTCCGTATTACGGACGGTCGCGCAAATAATCCCGCCATGTGTTTCAAACCTGTCAATAATGCGGAGAGCAGCCCCACCGTAATAGCGGCAATTGAAATGGCTAGTGCAATGAAATACATGCAATCCACCAGTAAGTAAAGAGAATTTGTGAAAGAAGGCAAACTGCTTTTAGGTGAAATTTCCTGCGTGAGTTGGTGCTGCTTGTGAATCCACTCGTACTCGCCGAACTTGGTGTCAAACGGTTCCTGCTGCAGCCGTCGCAACTTCGTTGTAAAGCGCAGGCCAATCTCTTGTATTATTAGACGCGCCTTCTTCTTGATGCCGAACGTGTAGCAGTGATGTCGTACGAAGATAAACTCGCGCTGGTGGCAAACTTACCGTAAAACACGGATCCAATGCTACACACGGATCGAGTGCAACAAAAGAGTAAAAATGCAGATCACATGATGTGCAAAAACAAAAAGGCGAATCTTTAAAGGTTTCACCCCTCCTACTTAGTATATCCATTTTATTCTTCTTGATCTACTTCTAGAATCCGTGCTTCTTCTTCTGCATAAGTTGGTGCTCTGAAGCGGTCTCCTATATCTCGAGGCCCAGTAGGTAGTATCCCGCTCTTGGCGAAGCCCCCCACCCTTCTGCTACAAAACGCGAAATATGTAAGAAGCTGTGCTTGAAGCCCACAAAACGCGAAATAAGTAAGAAGCTGTGAAATTTAAGAAACAAGTTCTATTTTAAAATACCGCGGTATTAAAACTGGTAGTGCTACGCGAGTACAGTCCTTGGTCCAGAAAATAATTACATGTAACAGATAGGTTTTTCTATGTAAAACCTCGCATGTGTGATTGGTCAATGTCCATTCTGAGATGGGCACGATCGGTTGAAATGAGTTCGTATGAGGATTTGTATGCACACAGTCATTGACGCGAAAATGGATTCGATTGCTTTATTGATATACCATAGATTAAGCTCAGTTTGCGCTTTTTCTAGTATAATTCTGATTATTCTTGACGTCAAAGCGAAAAAAGCTCCATCCTCCGTAAAGTGATAGTTCAAAAGGTCAGGCATTGGAGCTACCAAAACCTACACAAACTCGATTTTTGCGTCTGACAAAGCCGTGACGTATTTGTTGTCACAAATCGGTAGTAAAATGTTGAGGCGTTTTTCTCGTCTCCACAAAATGTGTCGACGCAAAATCGTTCGTACCTCATTTCTGGTACAGCTATCGGTATCCAGTCAAGCCCACTTCTAGTTTTGCTTTGGGACACAACAGCTCACACAATGAGCCGCCGTACTGCTGGAAGAGGACGGGGCTTCACTACGCCTCAGGTTGAACGTACGTAGTGCGTCACAAATTGGATCTCATGATTGATTTTAACGCTGCTTTCACTATTGCAGGCCTCTTATCTCTCGTCGAGCAGATTCTCCCTCTCGGATCGGCTCAATGGGATGATGTCCACTACGCATACAATCGGAACCTGCCTGCTGAGTGGCCGCAGCGCGACTCAGAGTCGTTACGTCGCAAGTTCTACGCGTTGAAGAATGCTAAAAAGCCAACAGGTGAGTGAGGCCTGTGTGTGCTGTAATACCATCATTCATCTTTATACGTATACTATGCTATTTAGGGGATCCGTGGTGTCCCCCAGAGATTCGACGAGCGAAGCATGTCTTTAGAGAAATCGAGGGCAAGTGCAGTGTGTTGCAGCTAGATAATGACGAACAAGAAACCATTTCATCGGAGCCGAGACTCAGAATCTCGCATCCGATTCGTGCCTAACAGATAGCCAATTCCGGAGGAGGCAGTATGAACCCCTACTTCGGCATCGATGCAGGTGAGATTGGTGGGAATGTTGAGGAAACATTCGACGAGCAAGAATATGGAGCTAGCGCGGGCTCTGACGCCTCTCTTAGCGAACCGACTGCGAAGCCTAAATCGAGTACTGGACAGGGTAATTAAGCACATGATGATTTAATGTTTTGGTGGATTTCTTGTTTTTACTAATTGATAATACAATTGGCATGTGGTAGATCTCAAAGCTTCCGCACGCACCGGAAAAACAACAGTGGAATTAGCGCAAATGAGTAAGACGTTGAAACGACAGCGTGACGAGAACGTGACTATGTCACATACAGCAAAGACACGTCTGAAAATTTTGCCGAGTATAACTTCGAGGTGAAGTACAAGCCGGGGCGGCTTAATGTAGTGGCCGATGCGCTCTCGCGCAGGCCGGACTACGAGTTAGCTCATGTCACGACAGTGACGTCGTCAGTGCCTGACTTGATACGCGGGGCGTATGCACAAGACGACATGTGCGTAGCGCTGCTACGGGCTCTTGGATGCGAAGAGTTTAAAGACTCTGACAAGGAATTGTCTGGGCGCTTACGCGCGAGGCTGCATCGATACTCACACGATGGCGGCCTGCTGTACTACAGCACCGACGCTGAGGATAACCCTCGTGTAGTCGTTCCTCACGATGAGGATCTAAAGTATCAAATCCTCTACGAGGTTCATGATACGCCCGTGGGCGGGCACTTAGGTCGGGAGAAGACCTATGGCTCGGTGAGCTCGATGTACTGGTGGACCAAGATGTATAAGTGGGTCGGCACCTATGTACGCACGTGTGAGACGTGTCAACGGACAAAGTCCGCGCCGAGCACGGCAGCGCCATTGGCGAGTTTGCCTGTCCCCAAGGGATGCTGGCAGTCCATGAGTATGGACTTTGTGTTTGGCTTTCCCAAGGATAAGGCGGGAAACACGGTTATAGTGGTCTTTGTAGACCGATTGAGCAAGATGGCTCATTTAGCGGCAGTGCCGGACACCATTGATGGTGAAGGTACAGCTTTGCTGTTTTTAGACCGAGTCTTTCGCCAACATGGCTTGCCTGAGGCAATTGTCTCGGATCGAGACCCGCGCTTCACCGCGAAGTTCTGGACGTCCCTCTTCAGAGTGCTCGGCACTCGTTTGGACATGTCCACAGCGGACCATCCGCAGACCGATGGTCAAACCGAACGCGTGAATCGCGTTGTGGAGGATACCCTCCGAAGCGTATGCGCTGAGGCGCCAAAACGCTGGAGCCAGATGCTCCCACTCGTTTAGTTCGCATTAAATAATGCAGTGCATGCCTCGACAGGCTACACTCCGTTCTATGTGAACGGCTTGGTTAACCCTCGCGTCCCACTGACGCCGCCACGCAGTGGCTCAGGGCTTGATGGGGGAGGAATAGCCGAGCGGCTAGCTGATGTCAGCCCTGTTGCGGCTCGCAAGCAAGTCGATGACTTTGTCTCTTTGAGACTGAGCGTAATGCGTCAAGTACGCGACGCTATGGCTGAAAGCCAAGACACGCAGAAGGAACATGCGGATGCCAAGGGCAGAAGCAATGTTGAGAGGTTTGAGGTCGGAGACCAAGTCTTATTAAACGCTAAAAACCTGCCTACTCATGCAGTGTTTGTAGTCTTCAAAGCGAAGTTAAGACCTCGGTTCATAGGACCGTTTAAGGTCGTGGCCAGGAAGGGCCTAGCGTATACGCTCAGCCTTACAAAGAAGATGCGCACGCATCCGGTCTTCTATGTTGGCTTGCTTAAGCCATATCAAGACCCTGCTCAGGTGAGCGCGGAGGCGTTGGCACCAACGGTGGCTGGACCACGGACAGCTGCAGGTCAGCAAGTGGTAGAGCCACGGGAGGCTGAACGACAGCAAGTGGTGGATCCACAGATGGCTGATCAACAGCATGTGGCAGAGCCACAGGTCGCGGAGCGAAGTGCTCGAGATGCAGGAGCAAGCCAAGCTGAGCGCTCAGCCGAGCGACTGGACGCTCAAGGTTCGAGACCTGGATGTGAGTCTACAGTGGTGGCTCTTACCTATCCACAAGGTGGATCATCTCTTCGAGATCGACCGATGGACGGTGAACGGGAACGTTCACGTCGTGGACGCCGGCGTCGTATGGACGCAGACGCCGTTCCGGCAAGTGCTGACTCTCCCCGCGAGAGCCCAGCTGAGGCAAGGCCTCCTCCAGCTCTGCTCGATGAGCATGGTGAGCTCCACTTTCACGTAAAACGCCTTGTGGCGTGGAGTAGACGCCAGGGTCGTACCCAGTACTTGGTGAAGTGGAGGGGTTACCCTCACTCACAGAACTCATGGGAGTTTGAGGCTATCCTCCGGCAAGATTGCCCTGACGTCGTTGACGCTTACGACCGGGCACATCATGTGCCGAAGCGCCACCATGGCGTGCGACAGCGTCGCCAGGCGCTGGGCGCCTCCCACTAGAGTGGGGAGCGATCAGGTCAGTAGTTGAGCTCAGGCTCTGACCAGTGGCTGTAGCAGCCAGCTCGTACGTATGAGCGGTGCTCGCAGCGGGCGCAGGAGGTAGAGAGACCTCGTAGTGTTAGGGACATGGTCCCGAAGGAAGCAGGTGCTTCGTGTTGTGCTGAACAAGGTTCAGGCACAAGCGTCTCGATAGCCGCATAGTTGTTTTAAACAACTTGCTCGATGAGCATGATCCAAATGTGGATACGCTGTAACAGCGAAAGTGGTGTCCCGGACGGGGATCGAGCCACTGGCCTTTGGCTTGACAGACCGGAGCTCTACCATTGAGCTATAAGGGCGATGCCCGTACGTCAGTCCGAGAGCGGACTACTCATGGTATGAGAGGGCTGCGCCCGGGTGGATTTGAACCACCGACCTGTGGCTTCCAAAGCCAGCGCTCGACCACTGAGCTGAAAGGGCGTTGCTCTTAAGCTTGTCCATTCAATGACTACAGTTCATGGAACGAGAGGGCTGTGCCCTGGTGGGTTCAAACCACCGACCTATCGCTTGT